TTATCAGAAAGAAGTTTAGAAACTTACATCTTACTGAATAATTTTGTGTTTTATAATCTAATTTATCATTTTTTGTATTTTTTTTAATTTATCATCTTTCTTTTTCATCATCATAAATAATAAATTAATAGAAGCCAGGTTTTAATTACTGCTAGTTAGTAAATTGTAATAAATATAATATGATATAATTAAATATATATTTTCATATCTGAGTAATATAATTATTGTTTGGGTATTTTTTTATGTTTAATGATTTTTGGTGTTATGAACTACTATTAAAAGATATATAAAAAAGGAAGAGATCTGAATTATTGTTTACTGTACATCTATCATTAACAAATTCAAAACCTAATTAGGTTTTGACCACTCAAGCTTTGGTTTACAAGACTAATTCATAGAAAATTAGGAATTATTTGTTTTATATTTTTTATTTATTACTGATGATTCAATCCACTTTATATTTTATTAAAAATACCTAAAATGTGTAAGATTTCACCATGAGATCTTTTGAGTTTCGAGATTTATAATATTTTAATAAAAACTTTTGCTTTTAAATACAATTGTAAATTACTATCTTTGTACACAAGTATAAGTCATTTTGAAAATATCTATAAGTAATTAGTAATTTTTTTTAATTTTACCTCTTAGTTATATTAAATAAAATAACTATCTCTATAATTTTCTAAAATATAATTTTTTTTGTATAACTAGGAGGTTAATCCCCTTGAGCCGTAAAACGCAAAGGTTTTTAACTCTTCAACAAAATAATTTGAGGTCTCACCCTCATGTAAATTAAGGTCACTAACCACCTCAACCAACACCTTAGGCCTTTTCAATAAAATTAGTTATTTTGGTAGCTCTTAACTGTTTTAGTAGTGTTTAACTGTTAGCTGTTTAAGTAACTTTTCATAAAATGTTAAAAGTTAAACATTTTAACTTTTTATAAAACACTATTTTAATCTGTAAAAATTAGTTCAAACGTTATTTTAGTGAACACTATAAAAAAAAAATTAAAACACTAAAAACTACTTAAAAAGCTGTTGTCGAACACACTTCGTTGGTTTTCTAAAGTGTAATTTAGTTAAACTAACGAACATTTTATTACTCCCTCCGTCTTAAAATATAAGTCGCTTAAGTTTTTTGCATAAAAATTAAGAAAACAATTAATTATTTTAAATTATAACAAAATCAAAAGTAATTTAACTAAATATCATTTATTTCACATCATTACTCCCATCTGATATCATTATATAGTATCTAATATAAATAAGGGTAAATGGAAAAAATATTACTATTATTTTTTAAAATACTTAAAATGATTTATATTTTAGGATAAAATTAGAACTCTAAAACTACTTATATTTTGAAACGGGGAGAATATAATTTAAAGAAAATTTATTGTTTGCTTAATCATTTACATATGGCAGTGGCACAGTACAAACAACTGTTTACAACTTTTTTTTGAGAATAGATAGATTGAGGGATTTGAATCCCTAACTGTTTACAACTTGGTTTGCAATCCAACATGCAAACAAATATTCATAACGAAATCTTTTGGGTGTAAAAACCAACTTCTAATTACAATAATTGTCCTTTTTTTCCTTTTCTTTTTGATAAATAATAATTGTTACTTTAATGTGATAAATAATTATTATTTAACTATTATTTTATTTTATTACAATTCTCCATCTTAATATAATTTCAAAAAAACTATTAATATATCTTAATTTAATATTAAAAAATAATTATGGTTATAAAAAATTTTACATGAATAAAATACTTACTCCCTCCGTCTCATAATTTTTGTCTTACTCTTATTTTTCATTTGTCTCAAATTATTTGTCAATTTTTTCTTTTTTTAGAAGTGAATAATATTTGAAGTTTACTATTTTACTTTTATTTAATATGTCTTGTTGTCAACAAACATAATATTCGTTTTGAAAAAAAAAAATATTCAAAATACTGCATTTTCATTAATTAAATTTTGATATTAATAAAATTAAAATATCAAAATCTATTTTTCAAAGGAAACTCTATATAATCAAATATTTAATTATAATTTGGTTAATTTCAAAAATAATTTTGTATGAATCATTTAATTTTAATGGATATTAACACAAGAGTATGTTAGAAAAAAAATAACGCAAAAATTATAGTTTAACTAATTAATTAAATTTTTTTTAATCTGTCTATAATTCAAACCAAAATAAAAATTATGAGACCAAGGAAGTATTGTTTTTAATTTTATTAAGTTAAATGAGAATAAAAGAGTATGAGTATCTTAATTAAGGTAAAAATAGTTGAATATAGAAATTAATTTTATAATAAAAATAAAAGAAATGTAATGTTTAAAATTTTAAATTTATAGAAATATATAGTAAAACTTTTATTAATTATTAAAAAAAAAAATTCGACCTCCGAACCTCTAATCCTGGCTCCCTTCTTGTATGTCAATGGGTAAAGAAGAGAGAGAGAGAATATTTTGATTTATTATTTCTTAAATTGCTTCGAGTATTTAACTGATCGGACACTAATGCTTGGTATGGGAAAGAGGATTTTTTTTTTTTTTTCCCTATAAAGAAAAAATGAAGGGCAAAGATTTTTTCCCTATAAAGTTTGAACAGAGTGAGGAAAGTATCAAAAAGAAAATATGTATTATTTTTCTTTTGGAAAAACTAAAATTTTAGAACAAATAAAATATTACTATTATTGAAAATTGACAATTATGTCACTTAAAAATAAGATATTTAAGCAAGAGTTAAAATTTGTTAATTAATAGTGGCATTTGGGTAATTTAATAAAAGAGACTAAAATTTTCACTTTCTCCATTTCTCTCTATATTGGAGGGATTCAAACTAATCAAACATTTGATTAAATAGGGTTTTATTGGAAGATTAAAGGTTGATATGTAAATTTTATTTATATTAAGATTTAACTAATGACAATATAGTAATTTGACTATTATATTTATTGACAAAGAAACATATCAAGTAAGGATAAAATGGTAGATCTCAAATATTATTCACTTCCAAAAAAGACAATAAAACAAAATTTTGAGAAAAAAAAAATTATGGGATGATGAGAACATTTCAAAATCCACGAATTGAGAATTGAAAATTATAGTAATTGAAATATATTTTCCTTTCAATGATTAAATGATTATCACATGTAGTGAAAAAATTAAAATTTTAATAATATGTTAATAAACTATGTAATTCAATGATTATAATAAATAATAAACAATAATTCTAGGATTTTTCCTTAATTAATAATGAAAAAGCAAAGCCTCCATTGGTAATATCAAAAGAAACAATTGTCGTTTGATAAATAAACTATGCAAAAAACTGTTTCTCCGACATTTACTAATTAACAAATGTCTTTATTGTTTTATCATTTAACTCTAATTATGGCATGAAATTGTACTATGTTTTTGTTTTATTTAAAATTCACAATATATATGATAATTGAGATATGAAATGTAGTGTCTTATAAATCATATGAAATCAGGAAGCAATATATAACGGTCATATGAAATCAATATTCAATTTGAAAATTTAATTGTGTATAAAAGAGAAAAAAAAATTTAAAGAAGAATTTGATGATTATAGAGTTATTTCATGATGAGTTTTTTTTTATAATATTATAATAAAATTTTAGTTTATTAATGAATGATATTATAAAGAAATGAATGATATTTCCTTCGGCCGTGTTAGTTTCTTGAGTTAGTTTTCAGTTTTCCCTTTATTTATTAAAAAAAAAAAAAGAAAAAGAAAGATGTTAAAGTTACTTAATTGTTTTTATATTTTCTTACTTTATTTATAAAATTTGATATTTATGAATTTAAAATTTATTTTAATTTTATTTATGATTTTAACTAGTTTTATTTTATATTAAATAGACGCGGAAAGAATCAAGAGTACTAAATACATAAGCAAAATGAATTTTCACAGGTAGTTAAGGGTTGCAATCCATTTAAAACGGATTTAGATATCATTTAAATGAGTTTGCGATGAACATGAATTTTAAGATTTTAAATGCGTATGAATATTAGTATTGCAAAAGAATTTTAAGCGAGTTTGTACATGAAAAATGCAACTTTACAGGTACTTGCCTCACTTTCATCTCTAATTATAGATTTCAAAGTCATTATATAGATAGATGATCAAGGATAAAAAAGTAATGTTCAAAATAATATTTTTAACAGCTTATTTTCACAAAAATATGAGAAAAGGAAAAAAGAAAAAGAAATAAATAAGCATATTAGAAATTTAAGTCCAACTTTAAAATCAAGATATCAGAATAAAAAGAATCAATAGGTTATCAGAAAATTTTAAACTCTTTTTTTCTTAATACTTGGACGAGGTATTCAGATTTATGTTCATTTTCACGGTTCGCAGTAAATCAAATTAGTCTCTCACTATCTCTTGGAAGCAAAGACGCTAATCCAAGAAAAGTTTACATTTCGAAGGATCGAACCTATAATTTAAGTCATAACGGTCAACCCTATAAATGCTCTTTGCTACTAAATTACTCAATTCGAATTAAAGTTTCAAAATCTTTATACTAGAGAAATGAGACCAAAAAAATTAAACGGGCCTATTTTAAAAATTTATTTTGAGAATCACCATATATAAAATAATTCATACAGAGTAACAATGTAATATACATATGAAAATTGTGTCTAGTCATCTATAATTCTATACTACCTAAAAGGCTAAAAGTGAATAAGGGCAAAATATTAAAGCACACGTGTAAATATAAAATGACGCATTGGAATTGTACTCAAGCGGAGGCCCAATTTTTTGGGGGGAAATTTTGTCAAATCTTATCTTCTTATGAGTCCCCAAATGGCCAAATGGACAATTTTAAAAGTTGAAAAAGACGAAGTTTTGGTATCTAAAATATATTCTTATAGTAAAGCTAAATTATCAAATATGGCCGAATGTACATATCATTCACCAACTTCCAAAGAATAAAAAGACAAACACAATATTACATTGTAGTGGTAATAAATATTCTCTTTTTATTGCAAAAAATACTCATTCCAAAACACTTGCAATAATAACTCACTAATATTAATAATTCACAAAAATAAATGATATTAATCATAATAATAATCAATTGTCGGAGTTCTCGTGATCGTCATTTATTGCTATGGCCACCTAATCGAAAATTTTAAAATAAAAAATAAAAATCTTCCAATTCCCAACAAATAACAAAAGAGAAACATTAGAAGCCGTGGTCCGTCACTGTACCCTATACATCCTCCTTTCTATGTCAAAGCAGAATTATGTTTGCGTTTTACCCAATATCTAAAATTGACCTATTTGCCCTCACATTTCTAATTTCTTCAAACTCTTATCCGTATAGCACCAGATTAATATGGATAAAATTGTAAATATACACACACGCAAGGCACGTGATAACTTTCAGCTTCGTTTCTTATACCCGTGGCATGTAAAACGACGTCGTTACAGCGACACTGGTATTATCCCTGCAACTCAATACTTTAAGAAGCTTGGAAGAGCACTTGTTAATCGGAGGCTTCTTGACAGTTTCCGCCACAGACGGCGGAAACATCATATTGCGGCGAATCTGTCGGCTTTTTATATCTTTAAGTTCCATCTCCGTTGGAGGCTTCACAACACCAAACATAAGCACATACCATCTAGGCTTGACCATCTTTTTAACTACACCATCACCTTTTCCGATACTTCTAGTTGAGGAATTCCGGTCAAAAGAGTTATCTGATTCCGACGAAGTTTTAGAAAACCAAAGTTTACGATAATCTAACGACCGGCTATTCCTCATCATGAGCTTAGTAGTGTTGATGCTATTAGAACGAGCTACCGAGTTATGTAACCCGGATAGTGACTCCGACCGGCGGCGAAAAGACAAATGTATTTTATCTTGTGGGGAGTTATTATGGGTTTTAAAATCTTTGAATGGTATAAGCTTACCGCAAAAGATTATGTCATCAGCTGAGCACATGTTGTCCGAACTGACGTTACTGAAGAACTCGAAGAATTCAGGCGGCTCTGATGATGATCTTCGGTTAGCATGGCTGGTAATGTTAGAGCTTCCTTTGTCGTCGTTTTCATCATCTTCTTCTTCTAGTGGAAGGTCGCAAAGAGAAAGTGCCTCCTCTTCTTCGTCGGAGTCGCGGCGGTGGTCGGTGTATTCTAACATTGATTCAGAGTAAGAGAGAGGGGGGAGATATGAAATTTGGAGAGAGGTCAAGTTTCAACCGTAATTTTTTCTTGTTTTTTAAGTTGAGAAATAGTCCAAGGAAAAATATATAGAGAGAGACAAAAGGAGAGATGTGGAGATTTATTTATTTATTTTTAAATAGAAAAGAAAAGAAAAATATTTGATTTTCTGAATTGGACTATTTGATGGGGTCTTTACGCCTTGAGTATATTTAAGAAGGGATTTTGATTTTTAAGAGATGTATAATTTGATCTACAATTAATTCATATTACGTTTTTAAATTTTAAAATAAAAATTTTTTAATTTAAAATACGGAAAATTAAAAAATTTTCTTATTTTTCTTTTTCATCTATATTTGACAATGGGGTGTTGATTTTTCTATTTTTATTTAATTTTGTATTTTGAAATAGAATTTTATTATTTTTATAAAAAAAATAGATTAAACTAATCATCAATTCAAAATCTATATTCTAAGTTAATCCGAAATTAATTAATTGTGAACTAATTTAGATATCAATTAAAAATTTAAGAAATAAAAATACTTAAATATTTATTCTAAATGGAAAATTCGTTATTTAAGGGTATGAAGAGTACAAAGTTAAAAAACTGATCACAAATTTCTTTCTTTCTTTCTAACGTATTGTGAATCAAAAATGGATTTGAATTCTTTAAGATGTTACGCGGCGTACGTGGATTGTGTTGGCAAATTGGGGAATGCCACGTAATCGAATTCAATGTTGATTTGACAAATTTTAAGACTTACTTTCATTTTTAAAAATTTGTCGATTTTTCAATTTGAATAGCATCAATTAAGTTTGAATTTAAATTCTTTTGGGTAGATTTCTTTTGAGTTTTTTTTTTAATCTTTTTATTATAAATCAATAAAATTATTGTTTTCTTAAAAAATAAAATCAATAACATAATAGATAACTGTTTCTTTGTCACGTAAATAAATTGCACATTAAAGGCTAATGCTTTTAATTATCTTCATATTTTAATGGGATAAAATATAAAAACAGAGACAAATTAAATGAAAATGAGAAATATTAATGTGTTAATTCTTTTTTTACTAGTTAAATAATATTATACTATAAACAAAAACATCAATACCTAATCATTTTTCTTTACTAATTTATTTGGACCAAAAATTAAATCTATTTTTTAATTAATGAAACTAAATTCAAAACAAACAACATAATCCAAACGTGTCCTCAACGGTTGTTTTTTTTTTTTTTTAAATAAATTGCACATTAAAGGCTAATGCTTTTAATTATCTTCATATTTTAATGGGATAAAATATAAAAACAGAGACAAATTAAATGAAAATGAGAAATATTAATGTGTTAATTCTTTTTTTACTAGTTAAATAATATTATACTATAAACAAAAACATCAATACCTAATCATTTTTCTTTACTAATTTATTTGGACCAAAAATTAAATCTATTTTTTAATTAATGAAACTAAATTCAAAACAAACAACATAATCCAAACGTGTCCTCAACGGTTGTTTTTTTTTTTTTTTCATATTTTTCAAAATGGTCCAACTTAAAACTTACTCAAAATTATTATTTTCACTCCAATTTCATTTGATTTACTTTGATTTTCAACACTTAAAAAGATCTTCCATGCATTCAGCTACTAGCTAGAAGATTAATGTTTGAATATCTTTTTTTGTATTTTTTTTTTCCATCCATGCACGTTTCTATACTCAAGTTGAGGTGATATTCGGATAAAATATTTTAATACTGATAATTTTAAATTTTGAATCTCTAAATTTGTGAATAAAATTCACCTAAAAATATAGACTATAATTATTATTAAATATCATTTTTTTTAAATAGACTGTGAGTAAAATTTACCGATTAACCAAGAATTAGTTATCTCTTCGCTTTTAAAATGCACTAATTAATATGTTTACACAAAAAGCATAAATTTTCAATCTTAAAAGGACACAAAGAAGATGAGCTTTTTCAAAGAAGAATATATGTAGATTCATAGTCTTACTTTTAATGGAATTGGAGTTGGCTTCTAGAAAACAGAAATAAAGAAGGTGATAGTGAAAAGCGTCTAGAAAGATGGGAACAAAGAACACAAGATATATGGTACCAAATTAGCATGTAAGAAAAAATGAGGTACTAAATTGTAAAATAGTAAGGTTTAGTTTCATCATCAAGCACTTTCGGCCAAGCAAATTTGGCTGGTTGTTAAGGTCGTTTATTGCTGAGCACGTTTTTAGGTTGTCTACGTAATTCCAATTGCCTCTCTCTCGGTAGAATCTAGATAGGTAGACAGTCGTCCAATGTTTGGGATACACGTGTACTCATCACTCAACATAGCAATATGTGGAGGGACTTTGAGTGGAAATTTTATTTTATTTTTTCCTTCTAGATGGATAAAGTACAACTGGGTCTTCAATTATATTCAATTGAACATTTAAATTTTACATTTGAGAAATAATTGTAATGTCTTTAACTTATATTCAAAAAGTGAGTTCTTTCCATTCAAAAAATAAGTATATTACGTCTAAAAAGTGTGTTTAATTAACAGTAAAGAGCTCACTTTTCGAATAGAAAAACTTAATAGTAAAATGGAAGTATGAATTAGAGGCATCATAATCATTTCTCAAATGTAAAAGGATTTAAGTGTTAATTTGAATATAATTTAACGACTCAATTATATTTTACCCTTTCTAAATTATAATTAAATTATAGTTAAATTATCATGCAGGGTTTCTGTTTTTTACAAACTAATCATAAAATCTCTAAATTATGATTTCATTAACAATTTGATTTTTCCGTCCAAAATAATCGCTTTTGATTGTCAATTGATTGTGAAAAAGAAGTTTACCTTACATAAATTAACACACGAGAAATCTCTACTTTTAAAAAACTAATTACGAAGTCTACAATTTATGATTTCGCTAATACTTTGATCTTTCCATTTTGAGCAAAAGGATAAAAAATATTAATGGACTCATAATTTAGAAATCTTATAATTATGCTTTAAAAATAAAATTTTTTGTGTTAATTTAATTATAATTTAGGGATAATTTATATTTTTTTTCTTTTTTTTTTTAAATAGCATGTATACGAATTTGGAATATCAATTTTCACTATGGAAAGTGGAAACTATACTATTAAGTTAAGTTTATAGTATTATCTAAATGAAAATAGTGTTATATAAAGTTCTGAGATTATTTCGTGACATGTTTGTTATGTTATGGTTAATGTCGTATTTTACTCCTAAAAGCAGTATTTTTTTATTGTTATTAATGTCTAATTATGCAAATGTCAACCGATAATTGATGAAGATACTAACGGAATGGCCGCTTATAATTTTTTTTATTAAAAATAACAAAATCGCTTAATTTACATTAATGACAAAGTTATTGTTGATTCCTTTTCTAGAAACGTGGAATAAATACAACGTTTAGGTCCTAAATAGGAAGTTCAAAAACGACATTTGATATAAGCAATGAAGCTATATTTTTTTTTAGAAGTAATATTTTTTTTTCCCACCAAATTTGTTCCTTCAGCTAAAAACTACGTGCCTCTAAAAGATTAAATTCGGAAATTTTGAGAGAAAGAGCATTTATTGATAAACAATTTATAATAATCTTATTTAATTAATATACTCCAAATTTTGTTATTCTTCACAATCCTATTATATTTTAAAATTTAAATAATTCTACCTCAATTTAAAAGATTATTTTTATATTATTTTCCCATCACTCAAAAATTATATAAATTGCAGAGGGACAAAAAATAAAAATCACTAAAAATTATCAATGTCGATGAATTGGCAAAAATCGTAAAGCTAGCCTAAGTACAGAATTTGTTTTGAATTTTTGGCCAAAAATTAATTTTTGAGTAAATTATATAGGAGTTTCAAGTTCGAGAATTATCGCTACTTATTCCTTATTTGTTTTCTTTTGCAATTTTCTTATACTTTCTTAGAGGATTCTTATTCTAATTGCTTCTAGAACAATTATTATATGTTAAATTTAATTTTGATTAAATCAAAATTAAAATTTTATTTAAATAATGTGGAAAATAAGATTTTTGAATAAATATGCATGCATGCAGTGAAACCACCATGATTCACTGCTGGATCAAAATACAGTAAGAATAAATCATTTAATACACTTAATTAAGACCCGATTAAAGTTAGATGAATGTTTTAAATGAATTGGACTCAATTGAAATTAAAGATGAAGTTAAAAACAATAAATGTGGTCTAAAAAATAAATAAGTGCAACATTAAGCATGTAAATAGATATTTGGCTAGTCACACGACTTGCACATTGTTAAATTAAAGAAGATTAAGAAAGAAAGAGGAAAGAATTATGAGAAGAATCTGATGATATAATTAACTTGACACAGCATAGCTATTTATATAGCTTTACAGAATTAAAATGTAGAAAATTAGTTAACAGAAACACCAAAAATATGGAAGATGTTAATAAACAAAACAAATCAAATACCCCAAACAAGTAGGGATTTATTTGACTGAAATAAAGACTAACAATTCCTCCCTTAAACTGAATGCTTTAAGCAATCAGTTGATAACTGATTCCTTTGAACATATGCCCAATAAAGCTCGCAACTTCAAAAAGGCATCCAGTTTGAGAGCCTTGGACATGATGTCAGCCAGCTGTTCTTGTGAAGCACAGTACACCAATTCAACAGTGCCAGCTTTAGTAAGCTCTCGTAGAAAATGAAACCGAACATCTATATGCTTGCTTCGTCCATGCATCATTGGATTTTTTAAAAGCTTAATGGCAGAATTATTGTCGCAACAAATCATAACTGACTTGTCTTGCTTAGGATCCAGCTTCTTCAAAATTCTTGTCAACCATACAGCTTGGCATGCACATGAAGCAGCTGAAATAAATTTCGCCTCTGTAGTGGATAAACTAACTACTAGCTGTTTATTTCGAAGACCAGGACACTGCTCCTGAGCTAAAAAGAAAAACATAGCCTGAAGTGCTCTTCCTATCCTCCAAATCTCCGGCATAATCACTGTCTGCATAAGCAATCAGCTCATTATCTCCCCCCTTCTTGTAGAAAATCCCCAAATCTGTAGTTCCCTTCAAATATCTAAGCACCCTTTTTGCAGCCTGAAAATGAAGTTGAGTGGGACTATCCATGTATCTACTTACAAGACTTACAGTAAACATCATATCCGGCCGAGTTGCGGTGAGATACATAAGACTACCCACTATTTGTTTGTAGTATGTCTTCTCATCCGTAGCTCCACTTTCATCTTTAACAAGCTTAACACCTGGAACAATGGGATTATAAACAGCAGTACTGTTATGCATTCCAAATTTCTGCAAAACCTCCAAGGCATATTTTCTTTGACTAAGAAAAATTCCATCTGAATTTTGGAAAATTTCCAAACCAAGAAAATATTTCATTCTCCCTAGACCTGTCATATCAAACTCAATTTTCATGGACCTTTTAAAATCTGCAAACATCAATTCATCATTTCCAGTAAAAATAAGATCATCGACATACAAACTGATGATCAATATTTTTCCATTCTTTGCTGTTTTGGTTAATAAAGTATGCTCATAATCACACTTGTCAAAACCCTCTTCACAAAATATGATTCTATTTTGCTGTACCAGGCTCGTGGTGCTTGTTTAGATGATCAATTAATTTTTTGCATTCTTGCTCGTTTTTGGTTAATAAAGTTATGCTCATAATCACACTTGTCAAAACCCTCTTCACAAAATACTGATTCTATTGTTGCTGTACCAGGCTTTCGTGGTGCCTTGTTTAAGCCGCGGCCTTTTTGAGTTTTATAAACTTTATGTTGCCTTTTTGAGTTTATAAACTTTATGTTCTTCTCCCTTCTGCACATAACCACAAGGCTGTTCCACAAACACATTTTCAGTTAATTCACCGGGTAAAAAAGCAGATTTCACATCGAACTGGTAAATAGGCCACCCCTTTTGAGCTGCGAGTGCAATCACCAGCCGAATTGTCTCCATGCATGCTACAGGGGCAAACACCTCATCATAGTCCACTCCATGTTGTTGAGCATACCCTTTTACCACCAATTGGGCTTTTTATTTATGACCTCGCCATACTCATCAAATTTTGTCTTATAGACCCATTTTACTCCAATTGATTTTCCTCCTGCCGGCAAATCTGTCAACTCCCATGTGCCATTTTTTTTTTATGGCTTCCATCTCCACATCCATAGCTTGCCTCCATTTTTCATCTTTTACAGCATCTTCAAAATGAATAGGACCAATATTTGCATACAGAACCATATTAGCTTCCCCTTCAGAAAGTCCTTCACCTGTCCCATAATCATTCATCCAAACTGGTGGCATTCTAGTTCTTTCAAGATTAGAAGTAGCAGATGAATTTGAAGAACTAGAATCAGAGTCAGAAAGAGACATGGTTACCTCCGCATCATTATCGTCAGATTCGACTTGTTCAGGTACAAAATATGGTTCTTGATCATTATTCTCTTGCACCTCATCATCTTCCCATTCCAAGTCGCAAACAATGGATTGTTCATGCTGCTTTTCCCATTCCCATTGTTTGTCTTCTTCAAATACAACATCTCTGCTTATGATGATACGTTGGGAAATTGGATCATAAATACGATAAGCTTTTGATTCTTCACTGATTCCGCGATTCAAAACATGTGTTGTCCAATTAACAGCTTCTAGCCAAAAAGAGTTTGGAACTTTCTTCTCTGAAAGCATACTGCGAACCATATTCATAATAGTTCGATTTTTGCATTCAGCGATGCCGTTTTGCTGAGGCGTATAAGCAGCTGTCAATTGTCTTTTTATGCCATTATTATCATAAAAATCATTGAATTCTTGTGATGTAAACTCTCCAGCTCTGTCAGTGTGTAAAATTTTAACAAAAAAACCGGTCTCATTCTCAACATTTGCCTTGAATTTTTTAAAAACAGCAAAAGCTTCAGACTTTTCAGTTAGAAAATAGACCCATAATTTTCTGTTGTAGTCATCAATAAAGGTGAGCAAATACCTTTTGTTGCTATTAGAAACAGGCTTGATAGGTCCGCAAATGTCGGCATGAACTAATTGCAGAACTTGTGAAGCTCTCCAAGTACTCTTTTTAGGAAATGGATCACATTGTTGTTTCCCTACCAAGCAGTCTTTGCACAATTTCAGTGGAGCCTTCATTTGTGGCAACCCATGCACCATTGTTTTTTGTTGGAGAAGTTGCAGACCGCTGAAGCTTAGGTGTCCATAACGACAATGCACGGTTGTGCTATAGTGGATATAGCATGAGCAAACATTCGATTTGAAGCCATTACCGTGTCCATAATCAACCCCTTTTCAGGATGGTACACTTTGCACTTATTACGCTGAAACAAGATAGAGAGACCCTTTTCTTGAAGTTGCCCAATACTAAGCAAATTATTCTTCAAATCTGGTACATAAAATACACCTGTGATGATCGGTGATATCCCATGCATTAGCAGCCTGATATTACCTTTACCTCTGACATTCAAGCTAGAATTGTTGCCTAACTTCACAAAATCTTTAAATCTTTCATCAAGATCAAAGAAATACTCCTCCTTCCCGCACATGTGATTACTGCAACCTGAGTCGAGAAACCAAGTATCTTCTTTATTGGCAATATTTGTTTCCAAATATGCCATCAACAACATCTCTTCTTGCGCCTCAACAAAATGCACCTCCTTTTCTTTTTGTGAACACTCCCATTGAAGGTGCCCCAGGTTGTGACAACGGTAGCACTCAATTGTTGATTTGTCAAAACTCTGTCTGCCTCTGCCTCGTCCACGGCCCCGACTATTACCGCGACCTCTTCCTCCAGAATGATCTCCATGTGAAACTTTCAAAGCATCATCAATAGTTAGCATGTGTCCTTTGATTCTTCAATAGAACAAACAACATAATTAAATTTGGGAGTCATGGATCTCAGAATTTTTTCAACCACAACAGCATCTCCCTTGTCCTCACCATTTGCTTTCATTTTATTAGCAATGAATTCATTCACAGTTTCTCCAGTCTTCATGTGAAGAATTTCAAACTCTTTTCGAAGAGCTTGCAGCTGTGCACCCTTAAAACGAGTTGTTCCGTGATATTTCTGCTTCAGAGAGTCCCATATGTCTTTTGCTGTATCCTTTTTGAGGATTGTCTCCAGGACTGACCGATCCAATGCTTGAAACAGAAAATTCTTCACTTTCAAGTCTTTCAATTTCTGATCTTCAAAGCTTTTCTTTTGTGCGTCTGTCAAAGATACTCCTTCTGCTGCTACAAGAACTCCATCTTCTACCAAGTGCCAATACTCTTTTGAGCACAAGAAATTTTCCATGAGCATCGCCCAATGATCATAATGGCCATCAAATTTGGGTATTGCTGGTTGAACAAAAGAAGATTCAGTTGTCATATTTGAATCACATAAAAGAAGAAAGACACTTATAGAAGACTGCTACTTCTGACCCCCTAAGGGCTCTGATACCAAATGTTAAATTAAAGAAGATTAAGAAAGAAAGAGGAAAGAATTATGAGAAGAATCTGATGATATAATTAACTTGACACAGCATAGCTATTTATATGTGAGAATTATAATTAAACTTGACACAGCATAGATTATTTATATAGCTTTACAAAGATGTGAAATGCAAGAGAAATTAGTTTAACAGAAACACCAAAAATCTGGAAGATGTTAATCAAACGAAACAGAAATCCAGAGTTATCCTAAACCAAGTTAGGGATTTAAATTTTGATTGAAATAAAGATCTAGACACACAATGACCATTAAACACTTACATCCAGCCTTTAAATTTGCTTAAGATATAGAGAAGAAGATTAAGAAAGAAAGAGGAAAGAATTATGAGAAGAATCTGATGATATAATTAACTTGACACAGCATAGCTATTTATATAGCTTTACAGAATTGAAATGCAGAAAATTAGTTAACAGAAACACCAAAAATCTGGAAGATGTTAACAAACGAAACAAATCAAGTATCCTAAACAAGTAGGGATTTATTTGATTGAAATAAAGACTAACACACATGACCATTAAACACTTACATCCAGCCTTTAAATGCTTAAGATCTAGAGAAATATATTTAGAGAGAAGAGTGAAAAGCGATCGAACCATAGACGAGCGCGAGAGGAAGGGATAAGAAGAAGAAATTTGATCCTGCTCGAAATTAACACTTGAAATCAAATTTTGCCAGAAAAACAATCATAGTAAGTTAATTTTCATCTATTCTTAAGTTATTTAGTTGATTTGATGAAGAATTAGGTTAGAATAACTGTTGACGGAGGGACTAATTTCAATTTATTCTAATGTGTTTACTAGTTAGTCTAGGTTGTGTTAACCATAAATTTAACTTTAATTTGAATGCATTGGACAAAATTATATTTAGGGTTCTTGGATGGATAATTCTGCCATTCATAGATTTTTTAGGAAGAAATGTATCTAATTTAACTTTAATTAGCTACATTAGTTAATTAAATACCCTAAATAAGTAATGAAGCATTAGACTAGAAGAAATCATGCCAAAATTAAATTTAGTATAGTAAAGGGTTATGGAAGTCAAATGAACATATAGAAATGTTCATGAAAATATGTAACCTTTGATGAATGATGTGAAACTGTGAATGATTGGTTTAGTTTAAAATGCAGAGTTATAAATCAATATATGAAGAATACAATAATATTTCCTAGGAGTTTAAAATATGGTGAAAATGTACTTAATAAGCATCAAAATTATGCACACCAAATGTTTGATAAAATCCCTAAGTGAAGTATTAAAAAGAGATTAAGCTACTTACATAGTTAGAATACATGGATGGCTATGACTAATCAGGACTTTAAATTGAATATTTTCAATCACACCCAATTTCACTTTACAGTTTTTCGACAAGTTACCAATTAATTACTGATTATTTTCTGACAAATTACCGACTAAATAATTTAATTTACAAAATAACGCATAAATAACAATGAGCTTTTTCCGATAAAATTAACTACAAAATACTGACTAAATGCTGAAAAAACATTACCGAATAAATTAGCAACAAAGTTTATAATAAATAGAATTCACTTTTACCAACCGAAATTTTATATTTATCGATAGAAATTCGGTTGATAATTTATTGACAGACCAAAAAATTAGTAGGTAAATTTTTGAGACAAGAACTTTATCAACAGAAACTTTTTTGTCAATATTCAGTAAATAATTATAATTAGCGATTTATATTCGGGATTTACCTGCTTAATTTTATCTCGCTAATTTTGATTTTTTTTTTTTAGTATTATCTTTACATAAAATTAGTGCACATTTTTTAATAAAAAATGTTTTTGCCTATGTTACTAAACTTGTTTTCTATATTTTGCTTCCTAATTAATATAATTTACTAATAACAACATTTTTTAATTTTCTTATTTAATTTCATTATATACCTAATAATTAATATAAAGTAATTTTTAGAGCTGTAAACGAGACAAATTGCTCGAGACTCGGCTTAATAAGTTCGCTCGAACTTGTTTAATAAACTTATTGATCTGAGCTATTGAGCTCATTTAATAATCAAGCAGGCTCGAGCTCAGGTCATTAGATCTCGAGCCAGCTTTATTAGGTCGAGCTCTCGAGCTAGCTCATGAGCTAGCCTTATCGAGTTGAGTCGTGTTCACGAGTTAGCTTAATAAGTCAAAATCAATTAAACTTACGTTAAAATAATGTCGTTTTGGTTTAATAAATTTCAAGCTCGAGCTGGAGCCTGGCTATTTTTAAATTAGCAAGCTCATGCTCAGATTTCCGAGTTCGAGCTCGAGTATATCCTTATTCAGCCGAGCTCGAGCTCATCAAAATTTGGTTCAACTCGTTTACAGCTGTAATAATTCTTAATTCATCTACTTTTTAAGTTTTTCAATTTAATTTCATTGCATCCCTAAAAATAATAGGCTATACATATTTTAAAATTATACTGAATGGAAGTACGTATATTGATATCAAAAAAAGAAGTATAATAAGAGAAAAAAATATCTAGATAAGAATGTGATTTTTTTTTTTCTTAAACTTACTTGAATACATAAATTTTTTTTATTACATGTCAAATTCATTTCTGTTGAACAAATATTGAAAATATATCTTCAAAGAAAACTCATTTATATTTTATGTTTACTTGATATGAATTAAATTTATGTTTGTCTTTTTTTTTGTTTCTCTTAAGTTCCAATTATCTGTTATTTTATCATTTCAATACAATGTTTTTTTTTTTTTCCCAATATACCTTAAATTTTCTATTTGCAACAATAATAAGTTTACTCTAGACAATATCTTATCTATTCTCAATAAATCTTAACCAATTAGATATTGATGAAAGTTTTAGAAAGACTAATTCATATTGGAAAATTTGGATGACCTCCAAGAGTATCATGGAATTTTTGTTATCTATTTTTACAAAATTTAGAGTATTAATTGATTTTTTTTAATCCATGTGCCATCCCCAAAAGGAATATTGAGTAACAAAGGAAACAATATTATGAAGGACAGTTTTAATATTCAAATTTATTAAAATATGAAAATATAAATCTTTTTAAATGAAAAAGAAGAACTATCATTCAACCAAATAAGCAAGAAACACATTAGAAATTAACATCGGACGGAACCCCACTCTTTAAAATCATATATATAACAAGTAGCTACTATTTAGAGACTTAACTTTCCTACTAATAAGTGGGCCTAAGGGCTTCTAGTCCAGCCCAGCTCGAAAATTTCCTGAACGAAATAGCAGAACCAAGCCTATTACCCTCCCTATATCTTTGTTTAACCTTCAACAAGTCAACAACCATTTGACTGCTCTCTGCTCAGAAAGGAGCTTGTCGTAAGCTTTTACTGGTACAGAGTAAACACCCATTCGACTAACCTTATTTACAAGAGAACTTGCATTCTGGGAAAATTTCTGTAAATATTTCCCTTGCTTTCCCACAATTTCTCGCCTCCCAGACAGATAACAATCATCTTTATAACAGATTCAATGTAGCTATTTTAGGATTTATAGTACCAAAAATCAAAATTCCCATTTTCTCAGTTACCATACAAATTTAACGAAGGAAAGCACATTCAAATTTCAAATTGCAAAAGCACAATTTCCCAATTTGGCTAAATTTCATATCCAGCAACAGAACTAACAAAATGCAATCCATTCATTTCATTACTACTTTGCACAGATACAAACTCCAAAAAACTATAAACCAAAATGAGGCCCCAAATTACAAAAAGAAACCCTAGACCCAACCCCTAATCATTCTAGATCCATCCATACATCCTAAAATCCCTAACCACCAAAACCATAGAGAGTACGGCCCTGCCTCTTCAAGGCATAGACAACATCCATTGCAGTAACAGTCTTGCGGCGGGCGTGCTCTGTATAGGTAACAGCATCTCGAATAACATTCTCGAGGAAAATCTTCAAAACACCTCTGGTTTCCTCGTAAATTAGACCGGAGATACGCTTAACGCCACCACGTCTAGCCAATCGGCGAATTGCAGGTTTGGTGATGCCTTGTATGTTATCTCTTAAGACCTTCCTGTGCCTCTTGGCTCCTCCCTTTCCCAATCCCTTGCCTCCCTTTCCTCTGCCCGACATCGTTTCCGCTTGCTCGAAGCTTTTTCTCCTTTCCTTTCTCTTTTCTAAATTGTTTGTTGAAGGTGGATTAGCGAAGTTTCGGATTGGTTTTATAGAGGAAGAGATTGCGTGGTGGCCGTTGGATTAAGTAGCGATCCGTGTGAGGTTAAGAGTTGGAGTTTTGGCCGTTGGATTGGAAAAAGTTTAATTTGATTGGTGGAAGTAAGGAATGTAGGATTGTGGCAAAGGGGGGAATTCACTCACAGAGAAAACACAAATATTTGCCGCGTTTGGTTTGTCCAAAATTTTGAAAGTGTATTAATGCGCTATTGACCTGTCAAATGTCGGGTCTGGTATGGTTAACCGAATTCAATTTTTTAATTTTGAAGTCAAAAATTAGCAATAATCAGATTTTGGTTAATTATTTACATGCTTCACCACAACTAAAAAAAAGGACAATTTTCATTTTAAATATTAAATTATGTTTTTTTAATTCTTTTAATGTGCTATTGACTTGTCGAATATCGGGTGTTTAACTAACCGACTTAAATTCACGGTTTTGGATGATATTTTAATTTGATTTTATAAAAGGAAAATTATTTTTCAAGTCCCCAAGGTTTTATAAAATTTATTAGTCTGTCTTTACTACTTCAATAAATTATTCTGAAGTCCCCAATGGATGTCTCCGCTTGATTCTTTTGTTCTTCAGTCAAAGAAATACATTCTTTTTCATTAATTTCACATAAAAGACCGAAATATCCTTATTATATAGGATCATCTCCATCTTTTTCCTTCCTTAGCATGCCATTTTCTCCTCTCACCAACATGCAAACCTAAGATAGTCATTAAAATATAATGAATATGAAAGAAGTAGATAAGGTCCATGAGTGTTAGTTGCAACAACAGCCGCTAAGGTATAGTTACATTGAGGACCAGGAGCATCTTCATCGGTGTTCCAATAGGTAAGGGTGAGCATTGAGGACCGGGAGCATCTTCATTGAAATTAATGAATAAACCAATTTAACTAGAATAATTTCAACTATGATAATAGCTTCAGAAAGCTTCATCTTCTATGCTATGAGTATGTAGTTGTCATGTTACAGAGCAAGTAAATATTGAATTTGAAATCACTTCAATTTTTTTTTTTTTTATCCCAACAGTTTCGGCTTTCTTCACTTGATAATAAATTCATTAATTTTATACGTTAGCAGCATAGTGGAACATAAAACTTTAGCTCTTGTTAGAAAGGGCACCATCTTAATTTATTAAATCTATATTTAGCCAAATGTTCAAATTTATTTTTATACTTGTTTAGCATTAAAAAAAAAAAGCTAAGAAAAATAAAATCAATTAATTGTTCAACATACCTGTAGTGAGAGCTTTAAAAATCCACTGCAGGTTCTAGAGCAATACTTTGCACTTTGTAGATCCGTAAAAAAAAAAAAAAGTTAATTCATATTTAAATATATTTAATAATGAGATGTGAGAAGAAAGTTAGAAATGAAAATTGAAGAAAATACATTATCCTTCTCTAATTTTTCAAGTTCAACCAAGTCTTCTTTAATATGAAGAGGTTGAGTTGATGGCCGGATCCAATCTTGAGCGCATACGAGAGCTTGTGCCATTTTTGGAGTTAGAGAACTTCGAAAGCCATCTAGTACTCGCCTTCCGGTACTAAAAGAAGACTCAAAAGTAACAGTAGAAATTGAAATAATATTGCGGGCTATTTATGAAAGAATAGGTAATCTTCAACTATTATTCTTCCACCAGAGTAAGGCATTGAAGCCATCCTCATCGGCTTCAATTTTTTCATTCAAATACTTATCTACCTCTAACTTGGTAAATTTTTCACCCATTTTAATGAACCTAAATTATTGGTATTTACCTTGTAACATCATTTTCCCAACCATTTGAGGCTCACTCACATTTGACTCGCTTGCAACAGAAAATTGATCAATTTGTTTACTTGTCTCAGGCCAAAGCTTCATGCCTCTAATCCCTCCTTCTATTAATCTTCTTTCTGCCAGGGATAAAATCAGGGGTAAAATTAAACATTATTGTGAGTTGAGGGGGAACCATTTTGTAAAACCAGATCATTCGCTTGTCTTTCTGTATGTATAAAGTTATCCAGTTGAACAATACTAAGAAAATTCTCACATTTAAATATACAAATATAAAAAAAGTTTATACATATTGTCATATAATAAAAGTAAAAACCTACTGCACTTTTTCAAATGTTACTTCACATTTTCATTATACAGATACAGATGATGGTTGACTATACATAATTATAATATGTCAACAAAATTGAAGCAATGAATGTTCTATAAAAAATGTCATGTCCTATTTCAAATTTTCAGTTTTTATTCTTTGATGATAACTTGACTATTGCACAAACAAATAAGCAGTTGCAATTTTTATTAGTTTAGAATTTTTATTAATAAACTTAATTTGTTGACAATTTTTATTAATTCTTTTTAATAAACTTAATTTGCACAAACAAAGAAGCAGTTCCATTGGAAGCATTACCATAGACTTTTTATTAATAAACTTAATTTTCTCTGAATTATGAATTAAATCAGATACTTTGATTGAATTTCAATTACAGCTCCAATTTTCTAATTTCTTGCAATTGTTATTCTATTTTATCATTTTTATGCAAAATAAAAATACTCATTGTAAACAACTAATGCAGGTATGAAATTAGATACATTTTGGTAAATTAGTTATAGCTGAATATTTTTAACCTTGATATGATATCAAGAGGTTTTCTCTTTATTTCTTTAAGCCATATGATAACTTTTATTTTTTTTATTCATGAGATATACCCAACTGTTGGGAAAATCACTATTTTTTCCGCCCTTCGGACCGGCTTCAAGCGGGAATAAATGAGAAAATAAAATAATAACTGAAAAATTAAAGAGAACACGATAATTTAATGTGGAAAACTCCCCAAGTGGAGAAAAACCACTGCCGTTGTGATAATGATATCAAAAAGTTTCTCTTATGTTCTTAAGCCATATGAATACTTTTATTTTTTTATTCATGAGAGTAATACCCCAACTGTTTGGGAAAATCACTATTTTTTCCGCCCTTTTCCGACGCTTCAAAAGCGGGAATAAATGACAGAAAATAAAAATAATAACTGAAAAATTAAAGGAGATACACCGATTAATTTAGTATGTGGAAAACTCCCCAAGTGGAGAAAAACCACTGCCAGTGGGGTCAACCGACAATCAAGAAAAAATATTCACTAAATCGGCAAATTGTTACAACAACCAATAACAGAAATATTTTTTCTACCGAAAAACTCTCAAAACACCCCAAATAATTTTTAATACTTCCAAGGGATGTCCAAAAGACTCTTAATATAAACACGTTCAAGTGTTTTTTTGTGTGTTTTTTTTGTTGTTTGGAAGAGCTAAACATTAGCTTCCCTGTATAAAACAAACCGAAAACCTAAACCTTGGCTTCTTTTTATAGCCAATCCACCACCCTCACATGCTCTTCTCCTCGATGTGGGATTGAGCAAAACTAATTTTTTTTTTTGTTTTCAACAAAGGAGGCTAACAACCTCCACCTTGAAAATAAAATAAAAAAAAAAAACAACATTGTCTGCTATCGACAATCATAATTGTTATCGTCAAGAATTATCATACTCTACCATAAAAAAGTATCGCCACTTGGAACCACTTTACCGACTCCAAGAATTTCCATTGGCCATGTCGGATCCCGCTAATAGTTTATGATGCAACCCATTGGTGCAACCCCCTGTTCGACTTTTTCCGAGAGTTCATTAGCCATCGAACATCATTTTTTTCCACCACACACTTTGGCCATCAACTGTCAACTCAATGCCGTGCGCACTGTTCCGTGGACCCAGCTACCAATTAATTCCGTTCTCTTCATGCATCTTCAACGGGTAGCAATCATGCCCATGAGGACATACATCTCCCTCAATTCAGAGAGATCACATCATCTCCTTCACCACAGGAGAAATCACAATTGGCAGCACAAACATTAGAGCTTCTAGCCGAAGTCAAGCTCCACCGGTTGTCGGGCAATCCTTCCTCAATGTGTCCACGCTTGACCACAAACCCAGCAGACAACCTCCTTCTTTCCGAGCTTTTATTCTTTTTTTCTTGGTATTTAACAAATAAAGCTGAATCCTCATGATGATTTATTTTTCATTTCATTCAGTTTCTGTCCTTAGTAAGGAGCTTACTAACCACATCGCAACAACCACTTCCTTACTACCCTAATTTCAGAAAGGTTTCATGTCTCATATGTTTCCGAAGGAAGTGACAGGATGAGTCGAGAGCTTTATCTTCAATCTTCGGTTTTTGGCAACTCCAAGAGTTTCCTAATTCATAGACGATTGCCATTAAGGAACACTCAGGATGATCTGAACAGCCCTTTGGTTACCTCGTCATTTTCACAAACGTATGAAATCTGCGCTCCTTCAAATATAACCTGTTGCCATATATTTTTGCCCTATTGGTAACAATTCTTTTCCAGCTTTCTCCACAACTCCTTTGTCGTTCGTGGACAATCCAAGCACATTAGCAAGAATATTTTTTGCTAGACACATGCGAATTTGACTTGCTGCTTTGATATCCAGCTCCTCCCATTCTTCATCGCTAATCTTGGATTTTTTTGAGTCTCCACTACTACTGTCTTTTCCTAAATTCTTTCCATTGACTGCTTTACCCTGCAAAACCTTATGCAGTCCAGACTGAATCAACACGTCTTTGACTTGCACTTGCAACAGTGCAAATTCATTCTCCCGTCAAATTTCTCAATCTCACATCTCATAGTCGGCATGCTTACTTGTGCTTATAACAGTGAAGCTAATAATTAGTGAAGTAAACCGATTCGGTAATACACAGGAAAGACAACAATGATCTCCTAGACAGTATTACCATTCCACGTAAAATCTCAGTTGGACGGAGGGGTCACAAGTGGTCCCACTTAAAATCCGGCCTTCTAGACTGCCCATTAATCTGGGCCTTCCCTTAGAAAAAGTTACGTGCACGGTTATATATTATCAGATATAGAAATAAACTTCCAATAATTAATGTCAGGACCTCACCACCGATACTGCAGCACATCCAAAGCAGAAGCTCCACCCGCTTTCAAGACTTCCAAAACTCCACCGCCCTTTTAAAATAAAATAATTTCTAACAAACAGTATTGTCTGATGATGGAAAGATCAGACTAAGCCGCAACCACACAGCATAACTTAATATATTAAAGAAATTTATTTTAAACACTAAGAAGCTCCGCCCCTAAACAACCAGGCTCCTGATACCACTTTTTGGGAACCGCTATTTTTTCTTTCCGCCCTTTCGCCGCTTTCAAAGCAGAATTTTTCCCGCCCTTCGGATCGGCTTCAAGCAGGAACAAATGAGAAAATAAAATAATGATTGAGAAATTAAAGAGAACACGATAATTTAACATGAAAAACTCCCCAAGTGGAGAAAAACCACGGTCGTTGTCAAACGACAATCAAGAAAAATATTCACTATGCGGCAAATTGTTACAACCACAATTACAAAATATTTTTCTACTTGAAACCCTCAAAACACCCCAAATATTTTATACTCCAAGGGATTCCAAAAGACTCCCTAATATAAAACACGTTCAAGTGTGTTTTGGTGTGTTTGGAAAGCTAAACAGCTAAACATTAGCTTCCTTTTATAATACCAAACCACCTACCCTCAATCTCATCTCCCCGATGTGGGATTCACCTACCCTCAAATCTCAATCTCCCCGATGTGGGATTGAGCAAAAGTTAATTTTATATTATTTTTTTTTCTTTTATTTTCAACATTCAACAAAGGAGACTAACACCAACTTCAGTGAAAACAACAAAGAAATGAACAAATAAAACAAACAAGCAGTTAAAAAGCAATTACAAAGAAAAACATGGATTAGAAAAATGGTTGAAACTTGAACATAATGACTTACTTGATAATAGATGACCGAGAACAGTAAAGGAGGGGAAGCAGCAAACGGCAGCGGAGCAAGGAGACTTCAAGTTGGAGTGAGCGGCGGCGGAGCAAGGAGAGGTTATGAGTGAGAGTGGCTGAGAGAGAATAGTTTCGACAGAGAGCGTATAGCGTGTGTCTGCATTAGGTTTTGATAGATTCAGTATTAACTTTCTGTCTTCATAAAATGACATCGTTTAAAATGTCAATTAATTTGATTAACTCGATCAAATTGCTTCTTGGCCGAACCTTTGACCGATAACCGAATCAAAATTTTTTTTACCTGAAATTTTAACTGAATTTCTCTTCACTGAACCGAGTTGGCTGAATTGGCCGAATTGGCCGAACCGATGGCACGCAACTACCAATAGGTCTCTATTTGAAACCAAGTAATTTCCCTAAAGTGTTTGTGGTGAAAATTTTGATCGTAAATTAAAGGAATCGGAGAACTAGAAAATTGAAATTGAAATTTGGATTGGTAATAGATTAAGCAAAAGAGAGAGGGATGAGGACAAGCTTGAGGTGAATTCATTGATAAAGCTGCAGCAAGAGAATGATTCAAAATGACAAAGTTTGAATTTGCCCAATGGAGAAATCTAGTAATCTCATCTGGTTGAACCATTTCAAACCCTCTTTTCAAACCCATTTGCGCTAATCTTGATAACATTATAGTACATATCAGTATGTTTTTCTAGGAGTCTCCTAAAAAATTATGGGTTGGAACACCTAGGCACGTTGATATTTGGTAGAGAGAAAGAAAGCAAACTAAATGAAAAAGAAAAGGAGAAAAGAACTTGTAGTGTTATTTGATTGTAAGCGAGTGCAGGCAGGAGAAGAAGAAATTTTAGAATTTTGATCCACGACGTCGTTGTTGTCTCTTGCATCGTTTAGAAGTACAAACTCAACTGCTTTTTATATGTGTTTGATAATCAAAGCCACAACACCTCCATAGATAGTGGGTTGTTTTACAAATAACAAGCCTGATCATACCCAATAGCCACAGTCGCTTCCATAGATGGTGCTTTCATGGGGATGCATGTCAGTGAGAGGAGAAATTCATGTACTGAGATAGGAGAGAGATGGAGATGGACCCCATATAATAATGGGATTTCTTTTATATATATATATAGGGTAAATTATTATTTAATCTCTCAGGTTTTACATAATTAACCAACTAATCCCAAGTTTTGAGCAAATATCTAGTTAGTCCCTCAGATTTAATTTCGTCTGATTAAAAGGTCCTTCCGTCCGAAAAGTTGATTTTTTTCCGTTAATTGAAGACTAAAAGACTAAAACACCCCTCCCTAGCTGACGTGGACCATAAGAATTGAAAGAACTAAAAGACTAAAACACCCCTCACCTAGCTGAACGTGACCAGATAAGGAAAAAATTATTATGCTAGTCCCTTATTTTAATAATTTCTAACTAATCCCAAGTTTTTGCCAATATCTAACTAGTCCCTAGGTTTTAAAATTATTGAATAAATTTTGACTTTTCGGGTCCTTCGGGGGGATTTTCGACGAAAACAAAGACTAAAAGACTAAAAAACCCCTCTCTAGCTGACGTGGACCAGTATGAAGCGATAAGTGAGGGAATTGTATAAACTAAAAGATTAAATAATAATTTTTCCTAAAAGACAAATATTTTAGAACAAACTATTTTCTCAAATTTGACAAGTATTATGAAACAAAGACAGTATTAAAAAAAGGATAAAAAAATTAATTTGATGTTCTAATTAAATATTATTAAATTTAAGTGAATTATGAAAGTAAATACCTCTTCAAAAAAGTAAATTACCTCTTCAAAAAAGTAAATACCTCATTTTTCTTTTTACCCCAACTTATCATCATAGTTTCTTTTTTAGACAAAAAGTAATAAACATAATTTTCTATTTTATTCATATTTAATATGCAAATTTTATCAAGAAACATTACTATTATCATTGATAAAATTATCATTGATAAAATCTAAAAAAAAAAACAAAGTATTCCATCTATTCATAAATACTTTTAATATTTTTATGGTAATTAAGTAAGTAAATTTATTCTTATAAATTATAACAAAATATTAATTAATTTTATTACGTAACCTTAAGTAAGATGTTATATGATTTTGAAAAATTATAAAAATAATTATTAAATTTAATATAAATAAGGGTAAAATTGAAAAAAAAATTAATTACTCATTAATATTCTAAAAAAAAAGATATTTGCAGAGAAAACACAGGCTCTAAAACAATAGTTATTTATAGATAAAAAAGTAATTATTATTGTCACCTATATTATTATAATTTCACAACTTTGAATATGAATATTAATATTTAATGTAAGGTTATCTGTGATAAATATTAATATTTTAATGCAAAGTTGATCTGGTGCAAAAGATAAAACTAGGTATATCATTATGGCATGGAAGGAACAAAAGGGAAACAAACTAGGTAATATCATTATGCGTTTCATACTAGTGCCACGTTCAGCCTAGGGAAGGGTGTTTTAGTCTTTTTAGTCTTCAATTAACCGAAAAAAAACTAACTTTTCAGATGGAAGGAACTTTCAATGTAGACGGAGTTAACTTTAAGGGACTAGGTTAGAATATTTGTTGCAGAAAAATTTGGGAAATAGTTAGGATAATTATGTAATACCTTGAGGGACCTAGATAATTCAATTTTCTTATGGGTCCACAGTCACAGCTAGGGAGGGTATTTTCAGTCTTTTAGTCTTCAAAATTAACGGAAAAAAAAACTAACATTTTCGGAAAAACTAACTTTTCGGACGGAAGGACCTTTTAATTAGACGAAGTTAAACCTGAGGGACTAGCTAGATATTTGCTCAAAACTTGAGATTAGTTGATTAATTATGTAAAACCTGAGGGACTAAATAATAATTTACCCTTAAATTAATTCAAACTATCACTAAATGTCTTAATTTGAAATTTTTTATTGTTTGATTTTGATTTTGATTTTCTTCAAACCGCCACTTCATATTTTATTCAACTGTTATATTCGAACATAATCAAATTGACCCACGAGCAGCCTTAGGGTTCGATATGGTACCCAATTTAGATTTTGGTTAATTATTTTTTTTAATTTTAAAATAAAAAATTAGTGTATATAATCAAATTTGTTAATTATTTACATGCTTACAACAATTAAAGAAAGGACAATTTTCATTGTGATGTTTTTTAATTTTATTTTACTGATTATTAAAAAATTCGATTGATTAAGAAAACAAAGTTCTTTTTTTTTTAGTTTTTAACCTAAAGATTAAGAAAGATTTATTGATTCATAATCTCAATTAGAGCTTTGCAAATAAATTTTTTTAAAAAAATATTAACATAGAGAAAAATAGATAAAATTAGATTATTTTGAATCTCCTTTCTTTTAATTTATATTCCCTTATTTGATAGTAGTAATTATATAAAAATCTCTAGTTTTGGCGCCATTTACCAAGCCCTTAATTCAAACTACTTCCCTAGACGCCCAATAACCATCCATGACGCCTCACAATCTCCTCCAGCATCCCTTCCCCGCCCAAAAATGCACCTTCGGCTGCCCAATCCTGGACCGCTGTCTAAGCGGCGGCGTCCCTTGCAATTCAATCACCGAAATCGTTGCCGAAAGCGGCTCGGGGAAGACGCAACTCTGTCTGCAACTCTCTCTCTGTGCTCAGCTCCCAGTTTCCATAGGCGGCCTCTCTGCTTCCTCTCTCTACCTCTATACTGAATTCCCTTTTCCATTTCGCCGCCTTAACCAACTCTCCCACTCCTTTCAATCTTTATACCCTCAGATTTTTATCAATGACAGTGATTCTACCAATAATAAAAGTTATAATCCATGTGATAACATATATGTACAAAGTGTACATTCTGCTGATCAACTGTTTGATATAATGCCAAAGATAGAATCTTTTCTTTTAAATTCCAAAACCCAATTGCCAATGAGGCTAATTGTGATTGATTCAGTTGCAGCGCTATTTAGATCTGAATTTGAGAATACCCCAAGCGATCTGAAGAGGAGATCATCGCTATTTTTCAAGATATCTGGAAAATTAAAGGCTTTAGCTGCGAGATTTGATTTGGCGGTGGTGGTAACTAATCAGGTGGTAGATTTTATGGGATCTGGAGAAGGAGTAAATGGGGTTAGGATTGGGAATTTGGGTAGCTTGTGTTCATCTGGAAGAAGGGTTTGTCCTGCATTAGGGCTGGCATGGGCTAATTGTGTGAATTTAAGGCTATTCTTGGCTAGGGACGACACTGGGGCTGAAAGTGGTTTTGCTTGTTGTCAAACAAGAAGGTGGCTTCATGTTGTCTTTGCACCTCACTTGCCTTATTCGTGTTGTGAATATGTGATTAGAAGAGAAGGGGTTTTTGGAATTGACAGATAACCGACAGATTTATGTCAAGATAGCATCATTTGAGGGTAGCAATTTTTTTGTAAGCTTTATCTGTTTGATTATTTAGTGATTTTACTTTGGAAAGAAGATAATTTGCTCTGTTTTTTCATTTTTGCACCTGAATGATGTTGTTAGCTTGGGTAGTTTGGTTGGCTTTCTTCTTCCAGTAAAATTTTGCTGAATTGATGTAAATTTATTTATTTTTCACTCTGGGCAAATCCTTTTAATCGAATTCCTTTACCTTTTCCCAATGAATTATCCTGAAAAAGATTCAGAACTTTCGACATGATGCCAATGATTTTTAATTTTGAGTTCTATTAGCTTGGGTAACTATGTTTAGCATTTTTCCTCAACTATTGGCCTATGGCAAAGTTCTATATTGTATATTCTGCCCTCAATCATTTTATCAATTGCTTCCGTTTGTTTTTCAATGATTCATCATCACAAAACCAGCAAATTTGACATGAAGACCATATTTAAAAAAGAACAAAAAAAAATCAGTCTTACTCTCTTAGATTAAGAGCTTGTTAGCAAGTGCCATAGAAACTGACTTCTAGGAGTTGCTTTGCAAATAATATCGTGGCTCTAATCATAAAAATGCAAAGTGTCTGTTTCACCATGCCTTAAATATGGTAACTAACTGTTTTTAAGTTGTATGTAAACTTGACTGCAATTTGTTGTACAGACCTGTCTTCATAAGTCCATGTATGCTTAATTCTTGGAAAAGATTGACTTCTCCCCTTTTTCCTTTCATTCATTTCATCCTCGGAGTAGCATATCTAGGTTTCTCTTTAGACATCCATTCTTCTATAACATGGGTTCTCATACATTCAAGCATTTTCTCACAAGCAATAAAGCATGAGTGAAGACATTCCTAAATAATTAGCACTATTTCTGTAAAATCTTGTTATAGGGAATAAATTTCTTTTGATCACTTTTGAAGCGAATAATTTCTGTCAACAAACCTTGATCACCATACAGAAGGTGATTTCTTAGATAGTCTTGCAAAATTGTCTATAGCACTAGTGCATGTATTTTCGGCAAAATTGTTTTGTAAAATAGACAAAGCTTTATTTGAGCCATGCTCTTATTTGCAGTTACCTTTCTTATTTGATTTATACACAATTCATTTTGTTGATATAATATAACTAGTTCCTTTTACAGAGATGGAAATGAAAAGGTGGAAGGCAAAATGCCTGTTTCCATGTGTGTGCTCCTATATAATGATCAGATGGTGAACCTCACTAGCAGATAGAAATGACTGAAAAAAGGCCTAACAGAATATTATAGGTACTTGTAGTTTGTAATTATGTTTTAATACCATTTTTGGCTTCAATTAATGTTTGAGGACACACAATCTTTTTTCTTTTTTCTTTTTTTATGCTTTTCTTGGATCTTAGTAGAAATTAAGTTTCTGCTACTGTAGTTTACATACTGATAATTTCTGTGTATAAACTCAATTCTTCAGCATATAATGTAAAAAGGCTGTGCAGGAGCATACACCTTTGGTTACCATATGTTTTCTGTAGTTATTCATGGAACTATTCTATTCTTTTTATGGTTTTCTTTCATTGGAGCATAAACCTTCAGCATACAAACTCGATTTGCTTGAAATGATTGGCATACTGCAAACAAATGAAATTATCACATCTGCAGAATATCCCTCATAATGTCTTTTGCCCTTTTCTATGGCCACCCTACAGGAAAATGAAATTTATGTTGGTAAATATGTTAATGTTTGTTGATACTATAAAAAATTGGTGCACCGTAAGATATGTATGAATAAAAAGAGAGGCTTTCATGTCCACTTTTTCCTTTCTTCATCCATACATTTAATGGTGTAATTCACCTTGTTGATTCAGCGTGTGAGCTGAATAATGAAGAAACACAAAAATGTTGCATTTTGGAAATCCCTTCATCTTCATTTTCTCCTGCTCCTGTTGGAATCTAACAAGGCATATGATAGATACCTAATATTTGTGATATTACAAGACCATGAAAGTTTTTGAATTGTATGCACAAATTAGGAATATGCATCCAATGCTATTCCTATATTTATTATGTCTATAATGGTAGAGAAATGATGTTGCAGATGGTTCGATTAAAATGGACAGTAAGAAGAAATCAAGATTCTGTGTCGTGTTTGAAATGCATGATTGTAACTGAAACTGATTCTAGAGCTTTTTTTTTCCCTTTCATCTTAGTGTCTTTGCAGCATCCGTTCCAGGAGTTTGTTCCGCTTGCCAATTGCCATGTTTCCTGATGACACCAAAATCTGAAAGAGTTTCCTGCTGTTTTGCACAATGAGAATGTTCCTGCTTTGTTTATACATATTCCAGAGGTTTTCTTTGAATGCTTTAAGTTGTGGGATTAAGCATTCAGTTTTCTTGAGGATCAGCAATTAACAAGCTTTTATCTTAACAGACTGGTTGTGGAGAGATTATATTTTGCGGTTTCTGCTTTCCTCTGCTGTAAAAGTTTCCTGCATATCTCTTCTATATTTCAGCTGAATGTCATCTACTGCTAATTTAATGAAACAAACAAAGTTCAGTTATGTTAAGTTTTATAAAACATATAAGTGAATGAAAATTTATGATGGATATGAAAGCTGAATTTCTAAAGGGATTTTACGTTACTTTATCTTATATAATAAGATTATGTTTGTTTCTAAAAAATAACTTGTCTGAATATCTCTAGATTTCCTAATATTTGGAGTGTTTAAGAAAATCAATCAAGCGGAAATTATTTTCCAAGTTAAAGAAAAATTAAGTTATTTTTAATGAAAATGACTTCTCACTTTAAAGAGAGGAAAATATTTTCCGGACTTTGACAAATTTATTATAACCTCTATATTTTTTAATTTACTGATCACCCGCACCCACCACCAATTGGTCATCGATCACCACCAGCACCATCAGCCACCACCACTCTTACCGACAACTATTGCAATTTATCGTTTTATGTCGTTTTTCTTACATTTAACAATAAAATTTTAAAATACGAAATTTCTATAACTATAAATATTTTTATGGTCATATAAATGAAAAATTTTAATATCTTTTTAACTAATTTTCAATGTTTCAACCAAACAACGGAAAATGAATGATTTGAAAAATATTTTTTAAGAAAAACATTTTTTATAAAAAAATATTTTTCAAAGACAAGTTGTTTTCCAAAAATAAACGAAGTCTGAATAAGGTTCAAGAGCTTCTTTGATTTAACTGAATTATGAAATATTATGAAATTTCAAAAAAGTAGGTGAAATTCTATTCTCATCATTTCATGAAAATTGTCTATTCTTTAATTAAATCTTAATAAGTTTGGCAGAATTATAAATGAACTATAAAATAAAAGTGCTACAAATTTAACTTGATTAAAACTAGTGTTAGAAATTGTTAATTTTACAAAGCTTGAGAATTCATTTACAAATAACTTGAGTTAATAAAATTCATTAAGATAAGTTGTTTTATATTTTCAAATAATACCTTCAAAAATTTTAAAAAATAAATAAAATTATAAAAAAAAAAAACTTGTGTCCAAATCCAATTACACAACGAAGACTATAATAAGATATTAATGTTTTGATATTTTAATGGATTCAGTTAGCCTTTTATAAATATAAATATAAATATCAAACTCAACTTTCATGTATCATATACATTTCTAAATTCCTCTACTAAATTAAATTAAAATATATATAACTAAAGCCGTGCAAATTGAATAAATTGTTATTGAAACTTCGCTCAACTTGAGTTGAATATATTATGTCAACAGATTCTTGCATTATGTATTTAATCTTAACACAATTAATTATAAATATTAAATTGAAAAAAGAAAAAAAAAAGAAATTATTGTCAGTAATAATGCGGGGGATAGTGAAGAAAAGCAAATTCTGAAAGTGAAGACCGGTGTTCTAATCTAATCCAATAAACTCTCCCTTCCGTTTGCCTTGTATAGAAATCAAGTGGAAGTAGCACAGTTTGTTATTTGACAGTATATTAGATTATAGAATGGCAAATGTTTAAAAGCATAAAATGGAAAATGAAAAAAAAAAATTTCTTGCAAGTAATTTATTAGTGGTGTATATCAATGCATCTTTTCATTCTTCAAGATTGAAATTAAAAAAAAATATATATTAAAAAAAAAAAATATAATATATATATATATATAATATATATATATATTATATAAAGTATAATACATTAAGGTATAATACATTAATATTTTTAAATAAAATAAACAATCATTTAATAAATAATAAACATATATATATAAAGTATAATACATTAAGTATAATACATTAATATTTTAAATAAATAAACAATCATTTATAAATAATAAACATAAAATAAAAAATAGGCTGAATGCAGAAATTAACTCTTGAATTTGACAACTTTAACCTTGTGGCACCCTGAACTTTGCTGATGATCTATCGTGTAATTGAATTTATAAATTTTGATAATATTACACGCTTTTCGATACTAATATCAATAGATTTTAGGATTTTAGTTTTTATTTATAAAATATCGACTTGACATATAGTTAACATGACTTTTAGAACAATCATTTTCATAAATTTCAACTTTTTAATGAGTATTCAATTGATCTAATTTTGCAAGTTAAAGTGTTTAATAAAATAATTTGAAAATTGAAGTGTTTGATGGATGTAATGTTATAAGTTGAAGTATTTGATAGGTCAAAGTAAAAGTTGAGAATGTTATAGGGTTAAAATAACAAAGTTCAAGTGAATTTATGTTTTCGACCAAAAACAAAATACATAATTTCTTATTTCAATATAATTAGTTAAATTTTCAAAATTATTATCACTATTGAAAATATATTAATAGTATGTATACATTTTTTTATGCAGGTCATACCATATATGACTTTCGCTATTGCATATCTTGGTTAAAGGCTTCACAAGATATTGAAGAAGACACATCCTAGCATTGCAATTTTTTTAGCATATTTTAATGAGATACAATTTTGCAATGCATTTCACAATCTTTTTATTATACAATTTTTTAGGGTGTCAAAATGGATCATGACATGCGAATACGATTTACCTAGAACGCCAAATAAGTAGGTTAGAGTTGAGGTTAAATGGATTCGTGTCATAAACAGGTCATCCATTTATGACATGAATATAAACATGTCGTGTCATGGGTTGACACACAAGTTAGGCATAACTACTCCAATTAAAATCCTATTTAAACTTTATTGTTGTATTACTTTTTTATTTATTTTAGTTGTGAATCTTGAAGAATATATGCATTTTATATTTAAAAATTTATTTTTAAACATAATTTGAATTAAACTGGTTGAAACTTAAAAACATCATAAATAGGTTAAGTGAGTCATATATAGGTTAATATGACTTACATAAACTGTTTATGATATTAGACGGGTTGCATGGGTGGTATACAGGTCAATACAACCCACTTAACCTGTTTATGATATTAGTCGGGTTATACGAGTTGTGTTTGTGTTGATAAATTTAACACAATTATTAAATGTGTGGTATTTGTGTTAATTATAATCATGTCGCTTGTTAGGCGAACCCGACGTGCCAACCCATTTTGACATCCTAATGATTTTGTTATTTTTGAACGATGTTATAAAAGATTATTTCATCATTTAATATTGCTTTGTGCATGGCGTAGGTTCTAATACTAGTTCTTTAATTAAATCTTAATAACTTTGGCAGAATTTATAAATGAACTATAAAATAAAAGTACTGCAAATTTAACTTGATTAAAATTAGTGTTAGAAATTGTTAATTTTACAAGGATTGAGAATTTTTACAAATAATTTGAGTTAATAAAATTCATTTGGGAATTAATTAAATTTCACGTTAATTTAATCAGTCTAAACAACAAACCAAGGCGTGTAGAATTTTATAATAGTAATTAAGAAAAGATGAAAATTATAAATTATGAAGATCATAAAAATTTAAAAACAAAAAAATAATACACGCCTAGTGGGACTCAAACCTACTATTACCTAATTCGAAGTCAAGCCCCTTATCCATTAGGCCATGAGCGCCTTCATTTGTGTTTTTAAAGCTATTTACTAGTGAAATTAGTAATCGTACTCGGGGCGTTCTAACCAAGTAAAGCGAAAGCAAAGTATAAAGAAAGTAATCCCTTTTATCTTTTATTTTAAAAGATTAAATTAAAGATAGGTTTTATTTTACTTATCTCCAATAATTGATTTAGAAAAATAATCTTATTTAGGATCTACTAAATTTTTTTTCTGAACATTCAACACCCTAAATAAGATTAGTAATATTGCTAAATTAGCAGATCCTAAATAAGACATTATTTTATTTATTTATTTATTTTTTTGTCTCAAGAGATGGGTTACTTTTCTTTTCTATTTATTTCAAATTATAGCAATTTCAATTTCAATTTTATTTTCAATATTAGTAGAAATATAATATTGTCTTACGTATATACTTCTTATTTTGTAAGTCCACTTATTTACTTGGGCCGGTATCGCAGCAGCCGAAAACTCTGAGATTTAAATGAAAACTTGGGCCCAAAAATGGTCCACTTATTGACTTGGGTCGGTATCGCAGCAGCCTAAAACTCTGAGCTTTAAATGAAAACTTGGGCCCGAATATGGCCCACTTAGAGTAAAATATTCCCGTTCTAACTCTCTAAGCCGAAAGAATTCCAGTAGCCGTTAAAAGATTTCGTTTAAATCATAAAATTGGCGATTTAAGTGGACTTTCACTCGGTATTTCTAATTTTCCTTGACGCATGAGGTTTCCTTTTCCTTCTTGAAATCTATTGGAAGTTATTAGTTTCTTTATATGAGGCGGCTTTGAATTATCATATCCATATATATCTATATAAACAATTCGATCCACGCCACTTTTCTTCTTCCAAATTAAAAGAAAGATGAAGAGATATAGAGACGGAATAACGGAGAACCACAATATTATTATTGGAGCACTACTTTTTTATATTGAAATTATTATCAAAATAGAATTATTTGAAAAATCCTAATTTAAAAGTTAAAATTACTAGCAAAATATATGCCAATCTAAGTAAAAGATATTATTAGTTTACTCCAATATCTCAAAACAAAAATACCCAGTAGGAGATATATTTTTTCTTTTTTTTTTTTAATTCACAATTGGAGATATTTAAAAACTTTTTATAACAAAAACCCATGTATTTACTTTGGCTATATAACCACCTAATAGCATAACAAAAACTCATTAAACATATGTGAACATGGTAATGATATATATATACATATTGAACATGGTATGATATATTTATTATATATATATATATATATATATATATATTATGATTATTATATATCAATTACCATTATCATTACCATGTTCACATCTGTTTAATGAATTTTTGTTATCCTATATATATATATGTCATACCAAATCAATTTTTATTATTTGTTTTGCTCATGCAAAACATGAAGTTAATGTCAAAAAAATAAATTTTATTTAATAAAGTAATATTTTGTTGGGACTGTACCACCCAACCCCGAATTAGTATGATATTGTCCGCTTTGGGCCAAGCCCTCACGGATTTATTTTTGGGCACCTCCTAAAAGGCATCATACTAATGGGTTGGATTTAAACCATTATATTTTGGTTATTCTTCTCAATTTTTTCCGACGTGAGACTTGGGAGGATATCCCAACATATTTATTGCCTTAAACAATGTTAGAATACTTGAATAGTTATTTTTAATTTAATATTTAAATTTTAACATAATATATTCCAGCTGGATGTCATCTAGTACTAATTTCATGAAACAAACAAAGTTCAGTTACCATAAATTTTATAAAACGTATAAGTGAATGAAAATTTATGATGAATATGAAAGCATGAATTTCTAAAGGGATTTCACGATATTTATCTCACTGTTTACACCATATTTTAATTATTTTTGTGTCATGTATTTGACTTGTGATTTTATGATTTATTTGGGCTTAATTAATTAATTGGCCTTTAAAATATTAGAGGCCTATAATTAATTAATTAATAAGTAAGTAAATATATTGAGAATTAATAGGAGGTGGTTAACAGAGAGATCAAGTAACTGCTAGCGCACGATACAGAGAAGTTACCTAAGCAGTTATCTAGGTAGTTCAGATGTCGTGTGCATAAAAGTGTTAATCGTCAAGTGCCTATAAAAGCCAAGCTCAAGCACAGAACATGGCCCCAACAAAATCAACTCTAAAAAATCAGACTCAAATACAATCTCCAGCATATAACAATTTCAATTTCATTTATATTTATTGTAATTTCTTTTTCCAGGAATCATCTAAGAATTGCCTTTTGTAATTTCAGTCATTGTTAATACAGTATTTCAATTTCAAAGTAATTTCTATTTTTTGTGTTATTTCTCTAGAATTCTAGTTTTTGCACTGTCTATTTTTCAACGGTTGGTGAAGCGATTATCGTAGAGCCATAACCTTCAATCTTTTGATTAAGAAGTTCATGTGGCACAATTTATCCTGAAGTTGATAAACTTCAATACCTAGCACGCTCAAGTTGTTAGTCAGCAGTAATTGTTTTTCAGTGCGAACACTTATGTAATAAGATTCTATTTGTTTCTATAAAATAATTTATTTGAATATCTATAGATTTTCTGATATTTGGAGTGTTTAGGAAAATCAATCAAGCGGAAACTATTTTCTTAGTTACAGAAAAACTAATGCTACATTTGTTTCCATAAAATAATTTGCAGGAAAATATTTTTTAAAATTTTCCATTGTTTGGGGGGTGTTTAGGAAAATAAGTCAACGGGAACTGTTTTCCTAATCAAAAGAAAAATAAGTCATTTTTAAGGAAAATAACTTTCCATTTTCATCCGCGTAAAACATTTTTTAGACTTTTACAAACTTATTATAACCTTATAAATTCATATTTTTTTTAATTTATTAATCATCGGTGGCCACTATAACCACTCACCATTCACCACCATCACCACCACCACTGGTCACCGGCGACTTTCATAATTTACCTTTTTTTCTTTACATTATTCTCATATTTAATAATATAATTTTTAAAATACAAAATTTATATTATTATTATTATGGTCTTATGAGTTAAAAATTTTAATATTTTTAACTAATTCTGAACATTGCAACCAAACAATGAAAAATAAAACATTTGAAAAATATTTTTCAAACTTGGAAAATATTTCCCAAAGGTAAGTTATTTTCTAGAAACAAACGAAGGCTAAGTCATTTTTTAATGAAAATGACTTCCCACTTTCAAGAGAGGAAAATATTTTTTGAATATTTTATAAATTTATTATAACTTATATTTTTTAGATTTATTAATCACCCGCATCCACCACCAATCGGTCATCAGTCACCACTGGCACCATCGATGTCACGACCCACTTCCAAGGGCCAGACCGGCACTACGACCTGGGTGGGTTTAAAATCTTCTAAGCCCGTAGTAAGCCTAATTCAGTTGAGCCCACACTCTCCTCACCATCGTGACATCGGGCTAAATAATTTTATTCTCATACTCAAACCCAATTTGATAATCTAATAAAATACGAAATTTCTATAACTATAAATATCTTATAGTCTTATAAATGAAAAATTTTTAATATCTTTTATAACCAATTTTCAATATTTCAACCAAATAACGGAAAATGAGTTATTTGAAAAATATTTTTTAAGGAAAAATATTTTTCAAAGATAAATTGTTTTCTGAAAATAAATGGAGTCTAAATAAGGTGTTAGAGCTTGTTTGATTTAATTGAATTATGAAATATTATGAAATTTCAGAAAAGTGGCTGAAATTCTATTCTCAAAATTTCATGAAAATTGTCTATTCTTTAATCAAATCTTAATAAATTTGGTAGAATATATAAATGAACTATAAAATAAAAGTGCTACAAATTTAACTTGAGTAAAATTACTGCTAGAAATTGTTAATTTTACAAATATTGAGAATTCATTTACAAATAATTTGAGTTAATACAATTCATTTGTAAATCAATTAAATTTCACGTTAATTTAATCAGTCTAAACAAGCAACTAAGGCGTGTAGAATTTTGTAGCATATCATAAAAAATTTAAAAACAAAAAAAATAATGCATGCCTAGTGGGACTCCTACCGACAATCGCCATGAAACTAAGGCACATAAAAAATTTAAAAACCAAAAAATGATACACGCCCAGTGGGACTCGAACCCACAATCGCTTGATTAGAAGTCAAGCGCCTTATCCATTAGGCCATGGGCGCCTTTATGTTTGTAAGGTTATAAAAAATAGTAATATTATTCCTAGGATGAAGGAGAGCAAAAGCAAAGTATAAAGTAATGGTTTCGTGCCCTTTTAGTTATTTTAAAAGATTAGATAAAAGAGTAATTGTCTTTTTGTTTCACCCGTCACTATTAAATATAACACCTATTTTTTATAATTGTTTTTAAAAACATATGTTATTGTTTCACCCTTTCTCTTAGTTTTAGTAGTAGATTTTTTATATCAGCAAAGTAAAATTATTTTATCAATTAATCAAGAAAAATTTAACAAACTCCATCTCTAAATATAATCAATAGACTTTTTTAAAACGCCTAAATCTTAATAATATATGAAAGCGGATGAGGTGAGCAATAACCTAACATCACGTTTCTTACAGATGTTGGAACATTTCCACAAGGTGTGGGAGAGTGAGTTCTTTGAGAGTTTTATTATGAGACTTTAGAGTGTTTGGTTGAGCCGTAATGAGTTGAAATGAAATCAAGTAGAAAAATGACTTTATCATGTGATTACTCGAGCTAGAAGCATGCTAGCCTCTCGGAAGAAAGCCTAGCTGAAGTCGTCTAATTCAGGTATAGATGTTTTTGCGGGTAGTCAATGGCTCCCGTCACCTGCTGGCACCTTTAAAATAAATTTTGATGCAGCTCTCATCGCCTCTGTTGGCCATGGAGCTTTTTGGTGCCGTAATTTCAAACTGTCATGGCGAATTTATATCAGCAGTGTCATCATTGCAGGGTTGTTCTTCTCCAGCATTAGCAAAAGCTCAAGCGCTAAGAAATGTTTTGTTCTGGTTGCTGTCGGACTACTCTAGTTTACAGTTTCAGGTTGAGACCAATTGCCTGCAAGTTTACCATACTATGAGGAGTTCTGTCCAAGACTTGTTTGAGTTTGAAGTTGTCATCTTTAAATGTAAGTTACTCTTAGTCCAATTGCCTCATGTCACTTTGGCTTGGATTAGAAGACAAGCTAATAATATAGCTCATGTTTTGGCTAAATTAGTTCCTAGTGGAGCTTATTTTCGAACTTGAAATATTGCTCCCGCTTTTATTGCTCGTTTTTTCTCTTAATAATATATGAGCAATATTTCAATGTCAAAAAAAAAAAAAAAAAAAAAAATACATATTTAACACCAAAATATTTTTTTATTTTTTGAAAATTAAAAATAAATAAAAATCAAAAATTAAAATGAATAATTATTATATTGTTAAGAGTACTAATTAAACAGGTAATGAATTAATCAATTTGAACTCAGCCAAAAGAGAGAAATAGTATTTAAATGAATTGAAAGCAATGCAATAGAAGAGAATATCATAATTATTTTGAACAAAAAGACTATTTTACTACTACTATTTGAGACTATTTAATTCATCACACAAAAGGAAAGGAAAGATTAATAAACTATAAGCTATAGAATACAAGTGAATATTTTTTGAAGCATTAATTATTTAATGAACGTTTACTGTTAACAAAAAAGCACTCCTCCATTGTTACAATTCAGAGCCATACAAATTTCTGGTCTTAAATTTCACGTTCAATTCCAAATGGGATTTTATACACTACCATATATGTTTCAGACTACAAGAATACATGTACAAATTATGAGGCTTGCCAATCTAAGCAAATACCAATTCTTGTTGCTAGTTTCCGGAAGCCAAGCAAATTCCAACATAATGGATGGGATGATGTCAGCAATCGTTCGGATCCTCCTTGCACGCTTTTCTCGATTCAGAAGTAGCTTCAGTACCTGTAGATAAAACATCACCAACATTGTTGCAAATACAATATCTTCCCATTTCCACCAAACAAGAGACGGCCATCAATCAAACCAGCTACGCTCAGCACACTATCTTCTTTTCAACTTATTCATATAATTCAATGAAGACAAGTTTGTAATGCCATATCTCATAGAGTGGAACTTTCAGATCTTTTTTTTTGTAATTTATTAAGTTTTTTAGCCCTTCTATTTCCTTAATATGCCTCGATAGGACTTTGGCTTTTAGTAAAAATTTAAATAGATATATACACATGAACCATAAACATGAACCTGTTCTGGTGGCTGTTCCATTTCAGCCACTTCCTCTTCAGCCCCAGCAACTTAAACCTCTCATCACTAGATCTTGGCAAATGCCAAGTTTTCGGAAAGGATGAGATTCAAGTTATGTCAGTCTCGAGATTCTGAGAAGTATAAGGACTCAATTTATTACTTCCAAGGAGATTTTTCCATTTCATTTTTCAGCTGAAGTCCAGCATCTCATAGATGTGAAAAAGAAGTGTAAGGCTAGTTGTTTTCTACCGAACATTTCCATTTCAAGTTTGAGACTGAATTGGAACTATGGTAACATGATGAAAACAGTAGAACCACCAGAGAAGGAAAAGAAACTAAAAACATCTCAAAAAACTCATCCACTATCTTGGTTTAGTAATGTGTGAGTACCACCATGGTTCAGTAATAAGTCGTCATCAGCATAGAGCTAGAATTGCAGGTCTTAGTCCCAACATTTGCAAAAGAAGCATGCGCTCTACTACCTCACGTGTATGTTTGATTTGCAAAATTTGAGTTAGGAAGCCACCACTGTGGAAAATGAAAAAGACAAAAAGGTTTCAGGGGTAAAAAATAACCTTTACCTTAATCATGAGTTGTAAAGACCACTTCTTCTCAAGCTGAATAAATTAGAAAAGGCACTGCAGAAAAAAGAGACATAAAATAAGATTTCGATCAACATGGTTTTCACTAAAAATCATAGATCAGGGAATACAATAGCAAAAGACATGTTTGGATCAGTTGAATCAGCATAGCGTTTTCCATGCCTACTTAGTCCATAGTTCCCAAATTGGCTATTGTCAAATATAGAAGTGATGATAGAAGAAAATGGGACAGGTTACATGAGGAGATTCCACATTCCAAGTTACAACATAGCAGGAGGCATGTGACGTGGTTAAGAACACCAAATTATTAAATGGATTTTCTTATACCTACTTATCCAAATTGTTTACAAGGTTTATGGTTATGGTGATAGTGTATTATATCTCAAAAATTATTTCTCACTCAAAATTTGTAAAATATCTGGTGGTTCAAAATGTTTATTTGCGCGTGCGTGCACACACACAAAAAGTGAAAAAAAAATGTGATGTACCAGGCAGCCTGGCTATATACATTTAGGAAATATAAAAAAAAAAGGTATTGGGGTTCCAGCAAACAATAAGAATGCTTCTAAACAGAACTTTTAGTCACTTCAAAAAATGTAAAATGACAAATAACAGGCAACAACAAAAAGTCTGCATAACATCAAACAAAAATTTGGAAATACATTGTGGCATAAAATCTAAGAAACAAATTGTCATGCATGTTGTGCAAAAATTAAGCTTCATAAATTTTGGATTGAAAATGATGGCCAAAACATTTCCCAGAAACAGTAGAGGGAGGATTTGTGGATATGTTGGAAAAATAGCATTGTCAATGTTGGAAAGTTTGTTCCGAAACACAACCTTCTCAAGCATTATCTTATAACCTAAAATATAATTCACACACAATTATCCTAAAAAGGTTTCCATTTTATAGTTAATAACAGTGGCCTCATATGATTGGTAGTTGTAATAATCAATACATCCCACACCATAATGGTGGCTGTAAAAGAAGTTCCTCCTTGATGTTGCTTTGAAACACACTAAAACTTCAAACAATTTAGCCACGAACCAAATGATAGTTTGAAAAGAGTTAACTAGGGAGATTTCTGAAGACAGATAATGAAGTTAAACATTCTAAAGAATAGAGGTGCAACTGCAAATCATGACATGTCTGCTTAGTTTGATATGACAACAAATTATAATCAGACAACATATGCTATTGAAAATAGCTTTTTCTTTTAACTATTTAAATTCTGAACTACACAGCTAATCGTCTTCATTATATCAGATTATTTCAATATATGGACAAATAATTTCTAATTCTGTATCAAGTCCAATTCCAACCAAGTGCCTCATGTCTAACTAGTGTATACTAAGAGGACAAGAAGAAGGGATGCAACATAGTTATATTTATGTCTTGAAGAAAGAACATGTGTGTTAAGAACTTACCAATCAGAAAAATACTTAGCATTAATGCCAGTGTCAGCTGGACAGAACAACTGAATTGCAAGTGAGCGGGTGCTTGCATTTGCCTTTGGAACCCACCAACCTGACCAAAGAACTGCAAATGGTAGAAATTTATAAAACCCTAGGAACTGACCCAAAAATAATCATGTGAAGCAATCAAAAGTATATATCTTGAACATTTTACAGGCAAAACCCGTTTCAATTCACCCTACAATGGTAAAACATGCTTTGTATAAGGAGGATAACACGTAAAATTTTCACAATGATAAATTACCAATTATTGCATTTCCTAAATACACAATTTATTTACCTGATTTATCAAATTAAATGGTCCCCTTGCTCGAGAATATTCTCCACACCTTTGCTTCCAAAAGAGACGCTTCAATCCTTTTTCTTTAGGTGTCGCCTCAATGCTTGGCATTGATCCATCTGTATGTTCATCTCTATCAGCAACTACAATCTTCAAAGCACCAAAATTTGGTGAACTCCATGTTTTCCTTGTCCCAGCTGTTCTATCCGCTTGACAGATTATATCATCCCTCATTCTAGAACTTCCTTTTTCATCTACATCTATAATAAATTCACCATTTTTATCAGTTGTAACATCGTTGACATCTTTCTCGTCGTAAGTACCTCCACTGCTGGTAGCATTAAGATTATGGTCTGCATCTTTTCTCATATAATGGTGATCCGTAAAAGGACTTCTCACAGGTGGTCTGACTGTAAAGCAATCATCTTTCGTAATTTCTGGAGTTTGGATAGTTCCAGAGAGAAATAAGGCTAAATCATCACGCTCTTCTTGGTTCAGATTCACCCATTGAAGAGGTGGCTTTCCTTCCTCATTAAAAGCTTCTCTTAATGCTGCTTCAACATGTGATATTTGACTTTCAATTGCAGCAACAAATTGTTTATGCCTAGATGCTGTAATATCATCAACACAATGTCCATGGCTCAACCTGACAGCCTTCTCGAACTCTTCCAACTGTTTCCCAATCACAGTTCAACTTCAATAATACAGGTTGAAAAATGCAGCAGCCACTAAACCAAACAGAAATATTGAAAGCAGTACCTAAATGAATTCTTAATCTCATATTGGTTGATGATAACTTGCATGGGGAAAAGGATACAGGTAAATGAATGAGATTTGATAAAAAAAAGTATACGTGACCTTTTCATAAAAATATTGACAGCTGGATAAGATGATGGGAGTTTTTCTTTGCCAGAAATAAGAATAACAAAAACATAAGGCTGGATAGCAATTTCTCATGGTTTTCCTAAAGTTTCCAAGAACTCAGACATAATGTAAAGATCAATAAAAGGGGAAAAGAGTTAAAAATCATATTTATTAAAACAAAAAGAAATTTTCCTTAAAAAACCAGAAATTAAAAAAGATTGTGAAATTTAGAAATTGAAGAGCGAAGATATACCTGCCATTTTGCAGTACCTAGTGCAGTTTGGAGTTCTCTAGACAGTTCATCTAGATCCCCCATCTCTGATTCCTCTTTCTTCTCTCTTAGCCACATCCTATATGCTGATTGCATTCTGTACAAACAAACGTATTGAAGAATGGCTTCAGATTAAGAAAATGACCAAATTAATACAGGAAATTGACCCAAAATCGTTATATATATTGATTTTGCAGCTCAAGAAAGAAAATTCAAATTGTAAAAAATTAAATTAAATTAAACAAAGCAGACTCTTTATTACTAGTGAAACCATTATTTCTAATGTTAGGCTGCAGTGATTATTTTTAAATATTAATCATAAGCAAACCATAGCCAACAACAACATCCATTATCCATATCCATTCTATTCATTGCGAATAATCAAGGCTCGTTAGAAGAAATTTAGTGCAAAAAATCTGCAAAACTTTTTTTAGAAAGTTAAAAGTGGAGGACTTCACAAAACAAATCCCCAAGAAGTTGCTCCAAAATTTAACATAACATTTATTTAGACATTTACCTTAATTCCTGACCAAAAAATAAACTACACCCACATGAAAAATATACTTGAAAACAAATTAAAAAACACAAAATCTGTGAGACCCAGAAGCCAACACTAAAAGTAAAAATCAAAAAAGAAAAAAAATCAATTAACAAAATCCAAAAGTAGCATTCCTACGTCACCAAGACCCAAGAAATGAGGAAGTAAAGAAAACCCATATAAAAATTCTTCAAAAAACTTCAAGAAACAAATAGAAAAACCGCAAACATAAAACAACAAGAACAACCCACGAATTGAAGAAGTAGAAGAAATGAAACATACACATCAGCAGATTCCTGAACCTCTTCGGCTGCAGAAAAGAAGGCATCCTTTTGCCATAAATCGAATCTATTTGCTACCATCATTTCTATTCTATTTCCTTCTCTTACCAAAATAAAAAAAAAAAAAAAAACCCAAACCACACTTTCCCTTCTCTTCGTTTCCTTTTTTTTCCCTTCTCCTCACTTCTGTGCCAAAGAGAAGCAAAGGATTAAAGAGAGAGAAAGCACACACAGAAATGGTTGTATAAGCAAATCTCCTTTGCTTTCTCCTTTCCTTTGCTTTCCTTTCTCTCTCCTTAGTTCTCTTCCCTTTTCTTTTCATTATTTATTTATTTTATAATTTCTTTTTGGTGTGCTTTGAATATTTCCATTATTTCTCTCATTTTCCTCGTTCTGGTAAAAAAACAAAAAAATAGAGGTTGTATCTCCAGTTCTGATTTTATTCTTCTTAACAAATTATTAACCAATCAGAGACCGCCGTACTAATTTTCTGTGACGTGGAGCATTTTAAATGGTTAGGTAAGTAAATATTGTGGTATTGAGAACACTAAATAATTGATGGGAAGGGACAAAATAGGAAGAGGGGGTGGTGCGCAGAGCATTTTGCTTTAGCCAGCGTGTACGTGTTTATGCTTTTGTCATTAGCTTATTTGCCATCTCATCTACTTGCGTGGGTCCCATTTAAGTCACCCCAAAGAATAATAATGATAAAATTAATATTCCTTCTATTTTCTTTTTTCTTAATTTGTTCTTCTTGAAAGTAAGGTTTATTTCTAGATGTTACCGTACTCCTGCTTGTCCAACTGCATCATTAAATAAAGGCTAAATGATGAAAAAAAATAACAAAAAAAATACGAATTTTAATTATTTTTATAACTTCAACCAATTTTTAAAATTTTAATGACTATAGTAAATAGTAGTATATTATATATCTTCTAACACACAAATAACATTATATATCTTCCATTTAACTTAAATTTAACATTTTTTATAATATAAAATAATTTATTTATAGAATATATAAATTTTAAAATTGAATAATTTTAAAAATCTAAAAATTGAAAAAGAAACAAATTTACGATGTCAATTTCAAAATTAAAAAATTGATTAAAATTACAAAATGGATACTGACGCGGCAATATGAAGCTAAACATACTAAACATAAATCCACTAACAACAATGTTAGCAACTTTCAAGAGATACACAGTGGAGGTTATAATTGCAATGAAAAAATAAGTTCCATGCCATAATTATCAAAATTTAAAAAAAAAATTCCTAAAATTGAAAAAGTAGCTAAAATTCAGACTTTTTTGGTCATTTGACCTTAAACAATTTTATGATGAAAATTATATTACACATTAAAAAGTTCAATGTACTCGTACAGAACATGAACATTTGTTGAACATTTCTGAATATATATCAGATAGTCTAAAAAATATATCTAATTATTTTCTTAATTTTATTAATTTGGATAAATTTATGTTTGGAATTATTTATGGTTGATAGTATATTTTGGATGCTTAAATGATATTTGTAATTCACCCAATTGCTAATAGGGTGTTTACTTATAGAAAATAGCTTTCTTATAAAATGAAAATTAGAAAATAGAAAGTGGAAAATGGGTTCAATTAGTAACACAAAAAATTATATTTTAATTTAACTTCATAAATATTATTTATAACTTTCATAATTAAAAGAAATAAAATGTTATAAAATAAATTTAGAGATTTTTTATGTAAAAGTTTTTGATTTTTTATTATTGATTATTTATAATAATAAATTATGTAATTTAAAAATAAAGGATATAATATATTTGTAGTAATAAAATTAATTATTTATTAAAGCATAATATAAATTTTTATGTTATTTAAATATTTTTATTCTTTCAAGGAAAATATTTTGTAAAAAAAATATTGATAGATATTATAATTTTAATTATGAAGTGTAATTTTTTTTTTAAATGCAAAACGGTTGGAAAATATGTCTCTTTTTATAAAGGAAAATTTCTGAAAACAACTTAAAGCTAATTTCTAAATCTTAGTTAAATTTTGAAAACTAGGAGTTTTTTAAAAATTGAAAACTAAGAGTTTTCCAAATAGAAAGCTGATTGATTTGAACACAAAACCCTGTTTTTTCAACTTTCTTAGAAAATTTTTCTAGAAAACTACTATAGTCTTCTATAAGTGAACACACCCTAAGTATTTACTTTCTAATTTATCTTTATGTAATTGCTATTGATGGGTTGTCTACTAATATGGCTTATGTGATGAGGTGTCAAATAACTCAGCAATATATGTAATTTGTATTAGGAAGATGCATCTTAATGAATGGTAATACAAAATTTCCTTTTCTCTCTATTCTATTTTTGTTCTCTTTATTTCTTTCTCTTTCCCATGTCTTAAACCCTAAGCCCCAAATCAATTTTATATCAAGCTCCTTACCATTAGATTTGACATTTTGGTATCAGAGCTGATTGATTCTGATTAGACTCTGGTTTTTTATTTTCCCAACTCACGAAGAAATCCACCGTAACCCATGCCTCTTGTTTGCAAAATCTTGAAGAGCAATTTGGAGCACATGAGAAATCGATTGACGATCTTAATAATCAGTTCTCTTACTCAAGAAGACTTTTAATCCAAGTATTGCCAATACTCAAAATGAGTTAGTGGAATTTAGTTATGGTGAATTTTGTTCACACAAATCAATCTAAGGTCCTAGAGGATTTACCCAACAATTATCGTAATTCACAAAACTTTTCAAGAGTGCGTAAAAAGGTAAGTCTCAAATCCCTCTTTGATTGATATGGAAATGCCTAAAGTCACTAAATGGGACTGAGATATCTTGGGCACACCTCGAAATTAGGAAAAGGAGAAAACTTCTAACCCTACCCACCCATTTTCACCAAATGTTGGCCTGGGTGTTCACCTACTAACCAAAACCCTAATTTTGGATTTGCATCAGGGTCAAACCCTAATCAAGGAACTGATTTTAATTCTAACCCTACTTCTGGAGGTTGTAAACCTAATTTAGGACTTGGGTCAAATTTCTAAAATCCTAATTTGTTTGGTCCTCATTTCCCTAATCATGGCTCTAATATTATGAAAATTAAGGATAACGTTATTCAAATATCAACAATGTGATCTCTTAGGACCAATGCATCGAATACTATTCTCTTAACCCAAAGAAATCCATGGGATAGCACTTTAAACCTTAAGATGAACCTCTATGTGTTTGATGGCTCCAATCCCCCTAGGTGGATTAGGAAATGCCACAAATGTAACATCCCTTCCCGGTCCACCCGTAAACCCGAATAAACCGAGCCGAGACGCTACAAACTGGTTGACTGAATGAACTGACATGCTGAATTTTTTATAATGAATCTAATATATCTAGAAATTGCTTATAGTAATCATGTAATCAGAATATTTACGAAACATGATACTAGTTCAAAATGGATTGGGCCCAACTGTTGTCCATTAATACATAAAAAGAATAACATAAATGAGTTTCTACCGCTGGAAGACGGGTCTTCTACAGATAACGGCAGCAGTTGTCAAAGGACCCTCTAGACGACAGTCTCAAACATGCGAGGTTAACAGGATTAACTCGCTGAGGCAAATTTAATAGCTGTGGGATATCATCAACAGGAAGAAAATAAAGCGACATACTTGTATAATAAGGATATGTAGGCACCGGCCACATATAGCACAGCATATCATGAATTTTCATTTTCTGTATGATATGTCAAATTATATCAGATATCCTGTAATGGCTCCATAAGGTTATAGCGAAAACGATGGTGATAATGGAAAAACTGCTATAAACTTAGATGAATACTGTATATTGGTGCTATGGCCATATAATATATCGACTCAACGCCTGTTAAGCGGAGTAAAAACTGTATAGTGCGCAGATCTGCTATCCTATGTTCGCGCACATGGCATTATAGACAATGGTTTCTAACTAACTCAGATGGAGCATAATGGTTGGTATTCAATTATACACAACATCTAGTAATAGTTCTCACTTCATAAAATTATAATGTTATCGGTTGATTTCCAACATCATTTGCAATGCTTGGATGTTGTTTTGGATACATGTTCTAATTTGTCTTTTTGTTTGAAAATGATTGGATGCATAAAGTCTGAGCAAAGAACCCATACTAGAAAAAGAAAGTCCAAAAATGCGGAAAACAAAGTCGCGAGCGGCCTTGGAATCGCGAGCGGCGAGATGCAGAAAATAAGAGACAGTGTGTTATCAGGGCACAGAGTGCGAGTCGCGTACATTGAAAGTCGCAGAGCGCGAGTGGTGCAAATGAGAGACGTAGGTTTTCATGCCAACTAGCGAGCGCAGACTTGAGAGTCGCGATCGTGTATATGCCAATTGAGAAGTCAGAGAGTTTTCATGCAACTAGCGAGCGGCAGGTGCAAGGTTTCCACGCGAGCGTTCCAGGCCAAGGGCAACTTCTGGGATGGTCTTGTCAAGGTCGGAAGCAGCGAGAAGAGCAAAATGAGAGTCAGTGAGTTTTGAAGTGGAAGTCCGGCGGCGAGTGCAAAGGTCGCGAGCGGGACGTGCTTCCTAGCTACGCAGTGCCAGGGTGCGACGCCTGCGCAGTCTGCACTCTTTTGGTCATATCTCTCAATATACAAATCCAATTTGGGTGATTCAAAAACCCATGCAAAGCTAACACATAGAGGAACGAATAACTCTTCTATAACACTTCCTAATTCCCTCATTAAATGGGGTCAAAATCAAGATGAAGTCCTCCCCTGTTTTCAACATAATCTCAATACCTCCCCTGTTTTCACATCATGTCCAATCTTCTCACTCAACAACAAGCAACATATCATCTCACTAGCAACACACCACACAATTTACATGCAAAGAAACTAGTAAACAACATGAGATATCAAACCACGCGTGAGCTCTGTTCTAACTTCTCTTCTCTACACTCTTTGAACTTCCTTCACCTAGAATAAAAATTCTTATCACTTATCTACGATATAACTCAATTAGAGGTTGAATAGCATAAAGCTTCAAGAAATTCTACTTACTTGGAGAACTAGAGGTTGCCTTAATGCTATGGAAAGAAAGGGAAATGAAGGAGATGAAGAAGATGGCGATAAAGATAAATCAA